GCAGGAGCCAGGTGTTTCTCCTGGTCTCCCATGGGGTGTAGGGCCCAAGTACTTGGGCCATTCTCCACTGCATTCCCTGGCCACAACAGAGAGCTGGCCTGGAAGAGGGGCAACCGGGACAGAATCCGGCGCCCCGACCGGGACTAGAACCCGGTGTGCCGGCACCGCAAGGCGGAGGATTAGCCTAGTGAGCCTCGGCGCCGGCCTTCTTTATGAATAAAGGGTCCTCCCTGAGAAGCACCTTGTGGTCAGCAGATAAAGGGCCCTTGTCCACTCAGAACTGGGGAAAGCTCACGATCTAATACAAGAAGGGAGGAGCAGACTTCGGGGACAAAGGGTTCATAAACTGCAATGCCATACAGTGAAAGGAGCCACGGGATCTGTCCAGAAGGCACTCAGGCCTACCCTAGGGCTGGAGTTCGTCCTACTCCTGTTTATTGAGACTTCAGCTTCCTCTTACTCCTGGCACACTGTTCGGTCACGGAGGGCTGATGTCCTCTCAGTAGGTTCTGATGTCCTACTCTCTATTGCTATGAATTCTCTCTCTCTCTTCCCTTCCCTCCCTTCCAACCCAGAAGGCTGTATTGCTTGGCCCAGGCTGCCACAACACAGTACCGAAGTCTGAGTGGCTGAAACAACAGATGCTTATTCTGTTTCACAGTTCCAGAGCTGGAGGTGCAAGATCAGAATCAGGTCCTTACACAGGCACTCTTCTGGCTTCTTGCACATGGCCGCCTTCTCATGGCATCCTCACGTGGCAGAGAGAGGGAGATAGTGACAGCATCAACCTCATCATGAAGACCCCCACAACCTCGTCTACATCTAATACCCCTCACCCCGCAAGGTCTCATTTCCAAATATCACATTGGCCACTAGAACCTCAAAGTGTGCATCTGGGGGCCGGGTTCAGTTGCTGTGTGTAGCACCAGCATCCCATATGGGTACCAGTTCAAGTCCCGGCTGCTCCACTTCTGATCCAGCTCCCTGCTGACATGCCTGGGAAAGCAGCAGAGGATGGCCCAAGTGCTTGGACCCCTGCACCCACATGGGAAACCTGGATGAAACTCCTGGTTCCTGGCTTTCACCTGGCTCAGCCCTGGCCATTTGGGGAGTGAAACAGTGTATAGAAGACCTCTCTCTCTCTCTCTCTCTCTGCCTCTCTCTCTCTCTAACTCTGACTTTCAAATAAACAAATATATCTTTAAAGAACAAAGATCAGGGCCGGTGCTGTGGCGCAGGAGTTTAAAGCCCTGGCCTGAAGCGCCAGCATCCCATATGGGCGCCAGTTCTAGTCCCAGCTGCTCCTCTTCTGATCCGGCTCTCTGGAATAGCAGTAGAAGATGGCCCAAGTCCTTGGGCCCCTGCACCCACGTGGGAGATCCGGAAGAAGCTCCTGGCTTCAGATCGGTGCAGCTCCGGCTGTTGCGGCCATCTGGGGAGTGAACCAGTGGATGGAAGACCTCTCTCTCTCTGTCTCTACCTCTCTCGTTAACTCTGTCTTTCAAATAAATAAAATAAATCTTAAAAAAAAATCAAGATGTGAATTTGGGGGACACCATTAAGTCCAAAACTAGTTGGGACTCAACATACAAGTTGCGAGAACAAGATTCAGCTCTCGCAGTCTCCAGCCTCACTTGGGCCTCCCCTACTGGCCTGACTCCTTCCCACATCTCCCCAGAAGGGTTCATTCTACTGTTTCTCACAGGGGACCTCCCAGATCTGCTGCATCCTACTCAAGGCTCCAGCCCTGCCACCTCTCCCCTCCCAGGCAACCAGTGACTCAGAGAGCTGCTCAGGAATGTTCTAGACAGTGTTAGTCACAGGGCAGTAAATTACAGTGGGTTCATACAATGGAATCCTACAAAGCAATATAAAGGAGGAACTGCTGATACACAAAACATGGGATAATTTCTCAGAAATCATGCTTAAGAAAAGAAGTCAGACACACGCAAATAGAATCTCAGATTCCATTTACACAACAGCGTAGAACAAAAGACAGTAGTCTAAGGGGAAAGAAATCAGAATAGTGATCGCCTGCTTGTGGGGGACAGGACGAATTAAGGCGGCACACAAGGGAACTCTGGCGGGTGTGGGTTACAAGAGGACATTCTCTTGTGAAAATCAGCTGAACTGCATGCTTGATTGGCTCAACAAATGCAAAATTTATTTCTCTCAAAGAAAAAGGACTTAAAGAAAATAAATATGAGCATACGAGTGTCGGGGTCTGAGGCTGACCCCTGACCCGCAAGGTCCAGTACAGACACTCCCCAACAAAGTGAACGGGAAGGGTAAGGTCGAGGGGTGATGAACACACCACAAGCACCCGTGAGTTCTGTCGAAGCAGGAACCCCTTTATTGAGGAAGCATACAGGCTTATAAAGCTTACGAAGGACATGCGCAGTCGGGGAGCCAATCAGTGAAAAGGTCACGCAGGCAGGGGTGAACCACGCCCAGGGGCACCTTAAGCAAAGTATAGGGATCAAGCGGACCTATCCCTGCAGGTGGTCCGATCTCCCACAGTTTAACCACAGCGGCCGGCCACAGACACGCCTCCCCAGTCATCTGCCAGGCGCCATGTTGTTGGGGACTATTTTAGGCAATGCCCTCTTCATGGGCTTTGAAAGAAAGCATTCCAGGGAGGAGCCCCAGGCCACTCCCAGCCTCGCTAACTCAGGTGAATCTGCTTCATTGGCAGGCAGAGCCCATTCTGGGGCAGTGCACAAGCTGTTTATTTCCCCACTGTCCTGAAGGACGCGGCTCTAAACCAGGAATAATTATGGGGTCGATCTCGCTGGAGTGATAGCTAAGTCACACGAGATCATTTAGAACACTAACTGGTACACAGCGAGCTCTCAACAACGTGATCTGCTATTACTGTCTGCAGGTAACAGTTTTCAAGGGAAGATTGTTTCAGGAAGGTCTGCTCAGGGCCAGAAAGGGCCTAATGACGTTCCCTGGTCAGAGTTGTCTTTTAAAATTATCCCCGACGCAGGAGTGAGGAGGAGCAGGAGGGGGGCTGAGGAGGACTGGAGTCCCACAGGAATGTCCTCACGTGAAAATGGGTGAGACATCGTTGCTTTAAAGAGCTGAAAACAAAAATTAGATTCCAAGGATACAGAACTTGAGTGCCTTAACAAAAAGGAAATAAAAGTTAACACTGAAATGTGTTCACATCTAAAACTATTAAAACTTAAAATTTCTGGGGCCGGCTCTGTGGCATAGTGGGCTAAGCTTCTGCCTGTGGCGCTGGCATCCCATATGGGCACCAGTTTATATCCCTGCTGCTCCGCTTCCAATCCAGCTCTCTGATACGACCTAGGAAAGTAGTAGAAAACGGCCTAAGTAGCTCCTGGCTCCTGGCTTCGCTTTGGCCCAGCTCTGGCCATTGTGGCCATTTGGGGAGCGCACCAGCGGATGGAAGACCTTTCTCTCTGTCTGTAACTCTGCCCTTCAAATAATAAATTTAAAAAATCTTAAAAAAAAAAAAAAACACCACAGATGGGAATTGAAATTCCCCATAAATCGATAGCAGGCTGATTTGAAAAATTCAAAATTTCATAAAAATTATAACGAGTAAACACCAAACCTTGACATAAAAGGTTTACAAATGTGAATTGCTGAATATTGCAGAAGGTTCTATAGCCACCTGCCCTGCTTACGAAACATTAATTCCTTAGAGCCAATAATGAGGACAGGGAGGAAGCCACACACTTCCCCTGCACTGCCGGAGAGCGGTGTGTTGTCCACGGCAGACTGACCGCATGTGGATCACAGGGAGGCGCGCGTGGTCAGCTCCGGCAGATCCGCCCTGCAGCAGCCACTCCACACCCCCCGAGCAGCCTCGGGCTGTCCCGCAGATCACTTGGCATCTTCCCTCACCTTCACTGTGGCAGTGCTTGTGGTTGTGCGCCAGGCTGTCTTGATAACCAACACAGTATTTTCCTCTTCCCATTCTGTGTGTGTGTGTGTGTGTTGGGGGCGGGGGGGGGACCCCAGCTTTTGCAGCCAAACCGTTGTGGGGATATAGGGACCCCCGAATTACGCGGGGGTGGATCGGGAGCCCTGAGTGGACTCCCAGAGATGGTCCAGGGTCTTGTCTTCCCGCGTGTTACAAATCCACCGGGGGGACGCAGATCGAGGTGAGCAGAGAAGCAGGATTCACGGACAGGCACAGAGGCGGTGCACACTCCGACCCGGCTGGACTCAGGGCAGGGCCGGAGGGAAGATTCCGAGGAGGCAGGGCGTGGGTGGGGCTGCCGCGCACGTGCTGACAGCCTGGAAGGCGGCGTGGGGTCCGGCCGCTAGGATCCTGGGCACCCCGCAGGGGCGGAGCGCAACTCGCCTTCTCCCAGGCCTCCTTCGCTTTGCACAGCCTGGGTCCCGACAACGGCGGGCTCGGATGCGTGTCGCCCGGCAAATCACTAACCTCGGGGGCCCTTTCCCTCTTCCGAGCTTGAACACCACCGGGTCCCTACCTGCTGTGGAGGCTTACGACCCCTTTAAAGCGCAGGCGGCGAGGGAACAGGCACGAGTGCGCGTTCAGGCGGTCCAGGCAAGCGGACAGGCCCCCGCTGCCGGTGCCTGGGCACGGCGGGTGGAGCCGTGGCCCTCCAGAAGGTGCCCTGTTCACCCTCCAGAGCCGGCCTGACGCGCCTCTGCGCTAACCCCGCCGGCTCGCGGCCCTTCCCAGCACTCCGGCCCTTCCGGGACTTTGTGTCGAATCTGCCGGCGGCGAGCGGGCGCCGCGGCGCGCTGGGGACTTGCGACTGCGCGACCGAAGCGTTGAGCGGGTTTCAACCTTGTCGGGCCGGGAGGGCGGCGGTTCCCCCGCAGCCCCTTGGGTGCCGCCCCAGGGCCGCCGGGTTAATGCCTTCTCCGGGCCCGGGGGGTTTTTTAAGAGCCGGCCCGGTTCCGTCCTTGTTTGTTGGTGTGCCGCCCCCCCGGTGGCCCGGGGTTCCGGGGCCGGGTTCTCGGGGTCCGCCCCGCCGGGTGGTTCAGCTTCGCCCGTCCGCGCCCCGATCTCCGTCCCCGCCGCCGCCGCCGTTGCCTCCCGGAGCAGCATGGACGGCGCCGGGGCTGAAGAGGTGCTGGCGCCTCTCAGGCTAGCCGTGCGCCAGCAGGTACCGGCGTGCTGCGCCCTTTCCCAGCCCTGCCCGTCCTGCCCCCCCTCCTCCCCGGGCGCCCGTCCACCTCGCCGGCTGCCCCTCTGCCTTCACCCTTCTTCCTCACCGACCCCGCGTGGGACCCAAGTCCCCAGTTGCCGGCCGACCCTGGTCCTCCCCTCTACGTGGGTGGTGACCTCCTCGGACGTCCGGCGACCCTCCTTTCCCCTCCTGGCTCCGACGGGGCTGGGGTCGGAGCGTGGGTCCCCCTCCTGTCCTCGTTGAGGAATCCCAAGGTGGGCTTCCCCGGCTGCGCGCCCGGTGCAGCCCGGGTGGCGGATCGCTCGGCTGGGGCCAGGCGCTCGGTACTCTGCAGGATGCGCGCGTCTGCTCCCTGCCGGTTCCCCGCCTGCCTTCGGGGCCGGGTTGGAGTGCGGCGATCGGCTGTGGATGTGGGGAGGTGTCCAACTTTCTCTTCTGAGAAGGATGTGAGTTCCTCGTGCTTCGCCCCTGGCATCATCTCCGGCTGCGGTCGTAGCCCCGGGAGGCTGTGACTGGGGCTGAGACCCTCGTGGTGGGGAGCAGGCCTCCTCTCCCTGGGGCTCCGCGTACACTCGAGCATCGAGAGGGGGGCAAGGGGAAGATGATTTCAGATGGCTTGCAGGTCCACTTGGGTAGAGCCAGAAGCTTGGAGTAGGACCCCAGGGATTGATGACCTGGTAGTAATCGCCAGACGGGTTTCTCCTGCGCGGGCGCCTGATGCAATAATTTTTCTTTGCTGCGGAGCGTGGAACTGGGATATAATGCGCTGGGGCATAGCTGCTGTAAATTCAGTGACTCCTGCCACTCTGCGGTCTCTTCTCTCTGCTCTGAGCCCGAATGACTTAGAGTTCTGATTTTGAAGTCTCGCCATGAGCTGAAGTTTTAAATTCATTGTTTCCAGCTTCACCGACCAAATAAAATTAGGTGTGGTTCCTTTGTCCTTTCTGTAACTGTCATTTTTTTTTTCCTTCCATTTAGAAGGGAGAAGACATCTGATTTGGGGAAAAAAAAAAAAAAACAGCCCAAACCCCTCCCTCTGCCACGTTAGCCTGGAAGTGCAGTGCAAATTATCCAACCTTAGGAAGACTGCATCTAGTTGACTGAGTAAACTTCGATTGTGGAACAGCTTTTGGTTGTTGCCACCTCCTTGTGTATCGGTTTTGTTGGCTTGATTGCCTTTTTTTTTTTTTTTTTGGTACTTTAAAATATTTTCTTTTTCTAATGTCCCAAGACCACACATATGTCAGTTACGTGCCAGGAATTTTGAATCATACTGAGTCCAGGGGCAGTGGAAGGGAATTTGAATTTCATCTGGGGAAGCCTCCTGTTTGTGCATAAGGGAAATGAGACCTCCTGTCACCTCGACCTGTCTTACGGATTTCCCTCGTAAAACTCGTGCACTTGCAGCCGACCCTGGAGTGGGGTTTTAGGGTGCTTAATGACTCATTTAGAGAGTGGCGTGTGCTTCATGTATATGTGCTTATTTGGGAAATGAATGAGCGAGCCTGTGACTTCAAGAAAACAGCAGTGTTTGTGGCCAGTGGTACAATTCAAGTGTTCAGGAAATTTTAGCATTGTGGGAAACTTGTGTCTGTTCTGTGCCCTTGGCGGCTGACTCCTTGGTACTGAAAGATTGTTGTGATGAGTGATGTTTTTAACAAATGTGGGCTTTGGGGGTGCAATGTAGTAAATGGGGGATATTTGGAAGACCTGCATTACTCAGTTAACCTGTATTTTCCAGATACTGTAAAATCAGGTATTGGTAAAAGATGAGCTCAAAGTCTTAAGATACATTAATGGATTTAATAGAATACAAAAAGTTCATTACTATAGCTTCTGAGTTAAAAGTAATCTTTAAAAAGCTACCACCTGTGGGAGTTTTTTAGAGTATTAGAAAGTCTAATACTCACTTCCCACCTAAGGTGGCTGAGTTTGGTGCCTGGCTCCGCCCCTATCTCCAGCTTCCTGCTGCTGTGGACCCTTGGAGGCGCGATCATAGCTCAAGCAGTTGGGTCCTTGCCACCCACTTAGGTGGCCTGGATTCAGTTCCTGGCTCCTGGGTTTAGCCTGGCCCAGGCCTAGCATTTGGAAAGTGAGCCAGGGGCTGGAAGCAAACTCTCTCTCGCTGTCTGTCTCCCAAATAAATACATTTATAAAGAATATCCATTATTTTCTGAAAAGCTTTTAAAATTCTTTTTCTAACTATGTACGAATCTCTAAATGTGCTTTATCAAAACATGATATTGTAAAAGAAGCAAGTATGAAAGTCTAGCTGTCTTGTATTAAACTAGAAATTAAGAAATGCAACATTATCACTGTTCTCACTATTCTAAATTTTATTTTGGAAAATACTTATTTTCACAAAAGTGTTATTTTATGCATGTTAGCATATATTAAGCGTTTTAAGAATGAATTAGTATTTTTAAACTTCCTGTTTTAAATTTTTTTAAGGATTTATTTATTTATTTGAAAGAACACCAGAGCGAGTGAGATCTTCTATCTGCTGGTTTATTCTCCAAATGGCCACAACAGCTGAGGCTGAGCCAAGCTGACGCCAGGAGCCAGGAGCTCTGTCCTGGCCTCCCACGTGGGTGGCAGGGGCCCAAGCACCTGAGCCATTTTCTATTGCTTTCCCCAGTGCATTAACAGGAAGCTGGATTGGATGCCACCGAGACTGGAACTGGCACTCGTATATGGGATGCTGGCATTGCAAGCAGTGGGTTAAGTTGCTGTACCACAATGTTGACCCCTCTTCTAATTTCTAATAGAGATGCTCTTCAGTTTATGTTGAGGATTATGTCCCAATAATCCCATTGTAAATTGAAAATATCCTAAGTCAAAAATGCCTTGGGTGCAGCCGACTGCTGATCACAGCTCAGCGCCACAGTGCAGGGTAGGGTGCTGGTTGTGTCCTTTGTGATCATGCGGCTGTCGCCCGCCCAGCAGCAGGAGAGAGTCATGCTGCATGGCTAACCTGGGAAAAGATGAGAGTTCCAAGTGCAGGCTCAACTGAGTGCATACCTTTTTTGCACCATCATAAAGTCACCCGATAGCCTACATAAACAGAAGCTTTTGGGGGTTTTCAGTGATTTTTGACAGTACAGAGAAGTCCAGAGACTCCAAGATTTGAATGACTGCTTCTAGGTGGGTGGAAGTGTCTGATTTTTATATGAAGAAACATTTCAAATGCTGTCTAGAACACAAGAGTTCCCCAGAAACTCCCCCTTCCCCCAGCTTGTGTGTGTGTGTGTGTGTGTGTGTTTACAGCCTTGGTTTTTATCCTGTACCTTAATGTCTCTACTTTCTCCTGTTCCCACTCTGCCTTTGGTCCCCACCATGGCCCTTGCCTTGTTCCTCAAGAGGTACTTTTCTGTGATCAGCACATCACATTTGGTCTGTCTCCTGAATTTATCTGTGGACTACTCTGTGCTGTCGCGAGTTGCTCCCCCTACTGTGGGATTGTCTCAGTGTTAAGTGAGGTCTAGTGGCTGAAGGAATGTATGTCTTGAGGTCTCATTGCAAAGCAGGACCTGTTGAAGTGACTTACGTCTGATCTGGGAGATTATGGGAGAACTGGTGTGGAGATGTGGTGAGCTGTTTTCAGTGTCATTGTCTAAATTTGAAAGGCCACTCTGAAATGATTGAAGTAGGTGTGACTTGATGCCCTAACAAAACACCTATGGAGAAAAATAGCCAGGAGGGATTTTAAAAAGTGTTTATTTTCATCTGTTTGAAAGGCAGAGAGAGAGAGAGAGACTGACTTTCCATTCACTGGTTCATTCCCCCAAATCCCCTCAACAGCCCAGGCTGGGCCGTGGTTAGGTCAGGAGCTTGGAGCTGTATCTGGGTCTCTTGTGTGAGTGGTGAGAGCCCAGGCACTTGGTCGTCATCTGCTGCCTCTCAGGATGCATCAGCAGGAAGTGGGATGGGAGGCAGAGCAGTGGGGACACCAGCCAGCGCTCTGACATGGGGTACACCGACCAGTGCTCTGACATGGGGTACACCGACCAGCACTCTGACACGAGGTGCACCGACCAGCGCTCTGACACGGGGTGCACCGACCAGCGCTCTGACACGGGGTGCACCGACCAGCGCTCTGACACGGGGTGCACCGACCAGCGCTCTGACGCGGGGTACACTGACCAGCGCTCTGACATGGGTGCACCAACTAGTGCTCTGACACGGGGTACACCAACCAGCGCTCTGACACGGGTGCACCAACTAGTGCTCTGACACGGGGTACACCAACCAGCGCTCTGACACGGGTGCACCAACCAGTGCTCTGACACGGGTACACCAACCAGCACTCTGACACGGGTGCACCAACCAGTGCTCTGACATGGGTACACCGACCAGCGCTCTGACACGGGTGCACCAACTAGTGCTCTGACACGGGGTACACCAGCCAGCGCTCTGACACGGGTGCACCAACTAGTGCTCTGACACGGGGTACACCGACCAGCACTCTGACACGAGGTGCACCGACCAGCGCTCTGACACGGGGTGCACCAACCAGCGCTCTGACATGGGTACACCGACCAGCGCTCTGACACGGGGTGCACCAACCAGTGCTCTGACACGGGGTGTGGGTGTTCCAGGCAGCAGCTGAACCTGTGGCACCATAGTTTCTGTCCTGGGAAGAATTCTTTTAAATTTTTTTTTAAACTCGTAGTGGAACTTAATAATTGTCCAGATAGGAGAGGATCTGAAGAATTCCTAGGTGAGCTTTTTTGTATACCCTTGCCTTTTTTTCTGTGTTGAAGAGAATGAAATACCGAAATTCAGCCTGACAGTTCAGAGTGTAGGCTGTGAAGTGACCTTTGCAGAATCTGGATCCACTCTGTTGTCTAAGCTGGTGACTGGAGCTTTCTGTGCCAGGTCTCTTCATCTGTTACAGGGGCAGGGGCCTGTATGCGTTAGAGGGAGCATGTTCCTGTACAGTGCTAAGGAGGCTGCCCATGGCCTACAGTAAGCCTTATTCTGAAACAGTCCTTGCTTATTGCACTGGTGGTTTTAGCAAACCATCGCTGGCATGAAACATATTTTCTTGTGATTGTGAGCTTGGAAGCATTTTGAATCTTTGGAAGATAATTGATATGTTTTGAACTTAGATAAGATAGAAAATCCCTTTTTAATAATCTGTTGGGAGGTCTTTAAATGATGAGTTATTCTCTTAACTGTATGAGTAGATGTCTGGATAATACCATGTGTGTTTCAGCATTTCAGGTCTCCTTTTCCTGTCATGGGAGCGACAGTAAAACTCAGCAGAAGTAATGAGAATTGGCACCAGAGCCTTGTGTTCTTCTCTGCATTGCTTTTCTGCACTGAGAGAGCCTCTTGAAGTGCTTGCTTGGTCTACAAAGGGCAGAGGGAAAGTTTGTGACGCTTTTGTCAATAGTTACAAGATTGGGGAATCGGAGATGAGCTCCTTAGTTGTAAGAAGAACCTCATAGCTGGCTATATAAAGCCAAAGACCTTACAAAGGAGAGGGACTGAATGTTTTCTGGTTTTTCTTGGCCTATGTGGTGATCACACTCTTAGTTTGATATACCCATGGCAAGAATTATCCCGGAGCTAAGCTTCTGGCTGGTGATTCCGCAGAGTACTCTAGAGGTGTTGAGGACATTTCATGTCAGTTTCATTCAGTGTACACACTAGAAAGCACAAAGAGTAGTTGGGTGGTGGAGAGAGAAGAAAAATAATTAGAAGTGGAAATCCTTAACCACTTAGATTCCACGTCTGGATCATCTCTGATTCTTTTGTTTTCAAGACAGGATCATTATAAATCATGATTCAAATGTTGTGTTGTTCGGAATAAACCTATTTCCTTTGTTTCCTGGGACTTCAGAGATGTTGATAAGCTAGCCTCGGCTTGAACCTGTGTCCCTGATTCTGTGCCCGAAGCTTCAAAGACAAAAACGTGATTCAGGACAGTGAATTTTAAATTCATCCTGCCTGTTTACTTGTGACCTTGCTTGCGGGTTCCCTTTGAGAAGCTCAGGAGACAATGGGTGAAATAGCAGGGAGTACCAGTACTGGGACTCAGCACGGGGGAGGCCTTCGGGACAATGACTTGCCTGCTGCCTTCAGACTTCACAGGGGACTGGGGACTGCTGCTGCCTGTTCAGAGCACAGGCGCTCACGGGCTGCTTCTCCTCATCAAAGTGCAGGTGGTGAACGTGGGAGACAGGTGTTCTGACAGGCAGAGGAGGGACAGAGCCAGTGCGTGTTGATTTACTGAATACTAGGTGCTAGGCTCTGTGCTAAGTTTTGGTTTGATACCAGTCAGCAATTGTGAGGGTACTTCATGAAATTTATAGAAAAATGGAATTCAGCATTTATCTTGGTGCAGAAAGTTTTTGAAACTCATGCAAACTATTTTCATGATAAGCATTTCCCACAAATATTTCGAAGACCCTTTATGTTTGAGTGCCAGAGTTGACATGCCAGAATTCCTGTCCTAAGAGAGTGTATTTTATAATGGTAGGGATAGGTGAAATGCATGTAAATAAATAAACCAGGGTTCAGAGGGGGATTCCAGGTATTGTAGTGAAGAAGACAAGTGAATGAACTGATGTGCAGCATCCTCAGCCTCTCTGCAGTGCTCTTGAACAGCCAGGGGCTGCCGCTGCTGTGGTCTAGCTGTTGAAGCTGCTGCCTGCAGGGCTGGCATCCTATACGAGCGCTGGTTCTTGTCCCGTTGTTCCACTTCCGATCCGTCTTCCTGGTAATGTGCCTGGGAAAGCAGCGGAGGATGGTCCAAGGCCTTGGGCCCCTGCACTCATGTGGGAGACCCAGAAGAAGCTCCTGGCTGCTGGCTTCAGACGGCCCAGCTCCAGCCACTGTGGCCATTTGGGGAGTGAACTAGCAGATGAAGATCTCTCTATCTCTGTGTCTCTTCCTTTCTCTCTCTCTCTCTCTCTCTCTCTCTAACTCTGCCTTTCAAAATAAATAGAATCTTAATTAAAAAAAAAAAAAAAAAAGAAACATCAACCAGAACCTTAAGCTGCTGGATAAACTCTTGCCATAAGTATATTAGAACTAAGAGTCCAATTGCAAAGGGTGTAGCAGAATAAAAGCTGCTAGTGTAACAACAGACCACGTGCATTTGGACGTAAGAGAATAATCCATGGTTCTCAACTATGTCCGACCCGGTATCCCCTTTTTATAATTCCTTATTACTATCCTTAATGAAATTCATACAAAATATCTACCTAAATTTAACCAAAGGAAAAAAATTGGTGCACCTAATGCCCTATTTGCAACACAAAGAAATAAACTAATGTGTAACACATTTATAATAAAGCAATAATATAATGTATTTGAACATGTAAACTCTTAGGTGTGGCCCAGTGGGGGTTATGCGCAGTATGCACATGCTTACGCCTGTGTGTGGGTGTACTGTAAGTGCAGCTGCTATAAGTGTCATTTATGCTGTGTAGGCTGCATAGATGTCACAGCAGCATTGCTGTTGGCAATGTGTTTTCAAATAGTGAACAATGTTTCCTTGAGGAATGAACTAATCATTGTAAAGTTCTAAAGAAAACCAAGTGTGATCTTCCTTTATACTAATTTTCCTGTGTGCATTCCTGGAAAATCCAAGATATGTTAACACCATGGGAAAATATTTTTGATTATAGGAATATACAACAGAGTTAGTTTAAGTTTCAGATAATTAAAAAAAAAATCATTCACCTATTTACCTGATAGAATGAGAGCGAGTATTAATCTATTGGTTCGTTCCCCAGATGTCCAAAACAGCCAGGACTGGGCTAGGTTGGAGCCAGGAACTCAGTCCAAGTCTCCTATGTGGGTAACCAATGACTTCAGCCATCACTGCTGCCTCCCAGGGTCTTTTTAGCGAACAGGAAGCTAGAATTGAGCCAGTGCCAAATGTTGAACCTGGGTACAATGATGTGTGATGTGGGCATCTTAACCTGTATCTTAAGCACTAAACTAAATGCCTACTGCAGTTCAGATCTAAGAGCCACCTTTCACCTCCTGCCTGGAGCATTCTACAGTAGGGTGAGTCGTGGAAGAGGGAGACTGTCAGTGGATGAGGGGAGTAAATGGAGCTTAGAAAATGCCAGCAACAAGAGGAAGGGGAGATGACAGGCTCATCAGGGAGCTGGGGTTTAGGAGGAGCAAAGAAGAATCATTTTGAAAGTATGGAGTAAGAACATTATCCCACCTCAGCCCCTGAGGAATATGGGAGAAACCCAGCCTGTATTTAAGACAGGTTCAAGGCGACAGTTGTCAGGTTGGAATATTTGAGGCATGCTTGTTGTAGGGTGTGGGATGTCATGTGGAAGGCAAGCGCTTCTGAGTAGGAGAGTAGAGTCATTGGGGGAGGAAGTCACCTCATGAGAGGTGCTGTGTGTAGTGCAAAGGCCTGCAGAGTGCTGGTGAGGTGTTGTAGGCGAGGGTCATTTGGGGCCAGCTCTAACCTTAGTGTAGACACCTTGGAATGCGAGACCAGTGGTAATCTGCTTTAGCAATCTGGTCTATGAGGGCTGAAAGGGAGAGATTAGACTGGAGAGTTTGAAGTCAAGTTGACTAGACGATGAGGTAGAGGGTAGCTTGATGTTTCTGGCTTGGGAAATGGTAGATTTTGTGGCTGTTAACATATGGGGACCATATACAAGGGAAGGAGTTTGGGATAGAACAGGTCATTCTGTTGTGGACAAGTTGAGTGCTTTTTGTCCACTGTGTGTTATGTGCTGTTGAAATTACTTTATTTAAAGTGTTTGACAATTCAGTGATTTGTTATTAGCTTGATTTTATAGTTGAGGAAATTCAGAGAGGTATAGAAATTGTCCAGGGTTTCATAGTTAACTGATCAGAGATGGAAATCTAGGTCTTTAACCCTTCTTAAAGTCTTTTATTACAGCTTCTCTTGGTGTGATTTTTTTTTTGTTTGGTGTAGCGTTTAGATTTTCTTATGCATCCTGAACTGAGAATTCATGTCTTTGAGCAGTTGTAGAAAAGTCACAACCATTATCTTCAAATATTGCCTCTTAAATTAAATTTTTCTTTATTCTTCTGCATTCTGGTTGGATGAGAGAGTTAGACTCAGTCTTCTATTTATCTATGATTCTGGATGTTTTCTTTAGGTCTGTCTTCTAGGTTATTAATTCTTTCTTTAACTATGTCTGAACTGCTATTTATCCTATCTGGTGTGTTTTTAATTTCAGTGATTGTTTTCCATAGGATATATGTAGTTCTTTTTCAAACTGCCTCCTTCTTCATCTCCTTCCCCCAGAGAAAGAAGTGGCATGTGAGTGTAGTTACTTGTGAACTTTCTGTATCTGTGGGACTGTAAAAGCTGAGGGCAGACACCTTCCATTGCTCACAGTGACCCTCATGTACCAAGCATTGGAATCGCATTGTTCTTACAGTTACCTCTTTTTTGAAAAGCATGCTTCAAAACACATTCGTGCATTCTTGATATATGAAACCAATCCTGAACATGACTTTCCTTTGTTGACCAGGGAGATCTTGTGCGAAAACTGAAAGAAGATAAAGCACCCCAAGCAGATGTAGACAAAGCAGTATCTGAACTCAAAGCCCGGAAACGGGTTCTGGAAGCAAAGGTGAGTCTTGGGTGCCAAAATAGGAACATAACTAAGTGTGGGATTGTTCATCTTCGTTTAACATCTGATCTTAGGAGAGACCTGGGCAGCCTCCTGAACAGTGTCATTGGGTTTATCTGTTTACCCAGAATGCCTTCTTCTCCTCATCCACCTGGCAGACTCCAGTTTTCCTGGAGCCTCTCTGACTTCTGCCCCCAGCCCCACTCTGAGACTTAGTGCACGATGTGAATTCCTCTGGGCCACGCTGCACACTTTCTGTGAAGTCTTACACACTTAGGAATAATTGTCTTGCTAATTTTTTTTATTTTATTTTTTTAAAATTTATTTTATTTATTTATTTATTTTTTGACAGGCAGAGTGGACAGTGAGAGAGAGAAAGGTCTTCCTTTTGCCGTTGGTTCACCCTCCAATGGCCGCCTTGGCTGGTGCGCTGCAGCCGGTGCATCACGCTGATCCTAAGGCAGGAGCCAGGCCCTTCTCCTGGTCTCCCATGCGGGTGCAGGGCCCAAGGACTTGGACCATCCTCCACTGCACTCCCGGGCCACAGCAGACAGCTGGCCTGGAAGAGGGGCAACCAGGACAGAATCTGGCGCCCCGACTGGGACTAGAACCTGGTGTGCCGGTGCCGCTAGGCGGAGGATTAGCCTATTGAGCTGTGGCGCCAGCCGCTAATTTTTTTTAAAGGAAGTCTATTCACCTGATACTGCTCCCCAACTTTTAAAACAATTAACCTCCCATTAACAGACTCAAATAGTTTGGAGTTTTAAAGTCATCACTTTACTGTAGTGAGTCACTAAGAATTCAGGTTTTATTTATGTTGCATATCAGTCTCTGCAACCAAGTAAGCTTGGAAATGGCTATGGACTTTCCTAAGTGATTAAGTAAAGGGGTGGCGGAACTGAGGCTTCTATATTTTTAAATTTTATGTTGAATGTGAACTAAATTCATATTGCATTGATCCCTCTAATCACACATTTTTATTAATCTCTTATAGGAGTTGGCATTACAGCCCAAAGATGACATTGTAGACAGAGCAAAAATGGAAGATACTCTGAAGAGGAGGTTTTTCTACGATCAGGCTTTTGCTATTTATGGAGGTAGGGGATTAATGGTAAAAAGAACAATTGTGTTGTTAGTAGTTTGAATATTCTTAAGTCAGGAAAATGGCTTGCCAGTTGGTGTCTAATTCTAACAGGTCACATAAAACAGGATACATCCTTGTTTGTTTGTTTGTTTGTTTAAAGTTGTCATTTGTTGTTACTTGTCTCTACCCTACTTGTGATTGAAGTCTGCTTTTTTTTCCTTCATTAGAATGTAGGGAATAGCAGGGGGCAGTTGCATATTGTGTATTAAGCATGTGGCATGTGTGTGTCCTTCTGTATAGTTTTCTTTTTAAAGATTCCTTTATTTATTTGAAAAGCAAAGTTACAGAGAGGGAAGGCATGAGGGAGAGGGTGGAGGGAGAGAGAGAAATTTCCATCCTCTGTTTCACTTCCCAAATGACCATGACAGCCAGGGCTGGGCCAGACTGAAGCCAGGAGTCAGGAGCTTCTTCTGGGTCTCTCACATGGGCTGCAGGAGCCCAAGCACTTGGGCCATCTGCTGCTGCTTTCTTAGGTGCGTTATCAGGGAGTTGGATTGGAGGTGGAGCAGCTGGGACTCAACCGGTCCTCATGGGAAGTGGACATTGCAGGCAGTGGCTTAACCTGCTGCACCACAACACTGGCCCCTGTGTGTTCATCCTAGAATCCAGTGGAGACCTAGGAGTAGTGGAGAACAGTGGTAGTCCCGACTGACTGTGTGTGCCCCTCCCTACAAGGGCAGTGGTGAAACAGAGGCCTTAGGTTACTGTCCATGGGCCTCTGTCAAGAAAAATCATTCTTCTGAGGTATGTGGTTCAGTCACATCTTTCTCCCTGCTTTGTGAAGGCATATAGGTGAATATCATTCATTGATTAAATGTGGAATTATGTTTTTCGTAGTCAACAGAGATCATTATAGCAATGTTTGACTTAGTAATTTGCCCACCAAAACTTGATTTGAGTCTGGCTAAGTGATCTCTAAATGCTTAACTTCTTGAAATTTAAATAGTGGCATATTGGCCGGCGCCGTGGCTCACTAGCCTAATCTTCTGCCTGTGGTATCGGCACCCCAGGTTCTAGTCCTGGTTGGGGCGCTGGATTCTGTCCCGGTTGCTCCTCTTCTAGTCCAGCTCTCTGCTGTGGCCCTGGAAGGCAGTGGAGGATGGCCCAAGTGCTTGGGCCCTGCACCTGCATGGGAGACCAGGAGGAAGCACCTGGCTCCTGGCTTCGAATCAGCATGGTGCACCAGCTGTGGTGGCCATTTGGGGGGTGAACCAACGGAAAAGGAAGACCTTTCTCTCTCTCTCTCTCTCTCTGTCTCTGTCTCTGTCTAACTCTGACTGTCCAAAAAAAAAAAAAAAAGTGGCACAAGGGTCCAGCGCTGTGGCTCAGTGGGTAAAGCTACCGCCTGCAGTGCCGGCATCTCATATGGAACCGGTTTGAGTCCCGGCTGCTCCACTTCTGATCCAGCTCTTTGTTGTGGCCTGGGAAAGCAGTGGAAGATGGCCCAAGTCCTTGGGTCCCTGCATCCGCGTGGGAGACCCGGAAGAAGCTCCTGGCTCCTGGTTTCAGATTGGAGCAGCTCTGGCCTTTGTGGCCAATTGGGAGTGAACCAGAAGATGGAAGACCTCTCTCTCTCTCTCTCTCTCTCTCTGCCTCTCCTGCTCTCTCTGTGTAACTCTTTCAGATTAATAAATAAGTCTTTAAAAAATAAAACAGTGGCACAAATACCCAAGAATAAGGCAACTTGATGTTAAATTTTATATCATTGTTAACAGCTGCTGTGACATTATTTTCTTATTTCTGTGGCAGAAAACTATAACTTTTCTGTTTCTTTTATACAGAGGAACTTTTTTTATTTTCAATTTTGGGCTAATCCTACTTGAAAGTACAAACGTGGAGCCAGTAGAGGGAGTATGAGCTTTTTGGTTTCACTGCTGTTGGCTACCTGGAAGTAGAGCGCTTCTGTACTGAGGGAGCTGTTGACTCTAACATGCTCTTAGGGAGGACGTCACGTCCTGTAGGTTTCTCGTGTCTCCTTGCCTTCATTGTTGTTCAGAATGGCAAGATAAGATGTGTGTTCTCTGCTCATGTTTAACAGGTGTGAGTGGTCTGTATGACTTCGGGCCCGTTGGTTGTGCTTTGAAGAACAACATTATTCAGACCTGGAGGCAGCATTTTATCCAAGAGGAGCAAATTCTGGAAATCGATTGCACCATGCTCACCCCAGAGCCAGTGTTAAAGTAAGATCCTGCTTGGAGGGAAACTCCTTAATGCACATATTTAAGTAGTTTTCCAGTTACAAATGACTACCTTTTGTCATGTAGAACATTTGAAAAACACAAGAAATAAAAGAAAGTGCATCTCTGCTGTCCACAGATAGCCATGTAGAAATTACTGCGTTTGTCTTTCTGATCTTTGTCTTTCTGGTCTTTGTTCTGTGCATCCATATATATACCAGTATTGGCAGCACGCTGCTGTTTCTGCATGTAACGTAGACTAACATTTACTCGTGTCGTTAGATGTGTCTGAGGCATTTTCAGTGGTAGCAGTATTTTGTGGGTTTGTCATAAATTATGAAATAACTTAAGTTTACTTAAGTATTCAAAGTGTTTTTGACTTCTGACTGCATCGAACATCCCAGTGGATGGACTTCGGTGCATATCCCTGATTATTTCCTTACTATCCGTTCTTAGAAGTTCTGAGAGCATGACTGTATGCATTTTCAATCTAATATTTAGGTGTTTACGTTGAAGTTGAGATTATTGCTTCCTGTATTGTTGAAAGTAGGGCAAGATTTCTTGAACATAAAACTGTGAAAGAGGAATTTTATTAATTAATTCACCTAATGTTGCCAGGTAAAGAGCTGATTATTAGTGATTGTATCCTTCAGACTGTCTCAGCCAGTATAGACAGGATGAATTCCTTATGATGGCTCTGAAAGATCTGGGCTACCTGTTCTTCAGCCACTTGCTCTGCTGAGAGGAGCTGTGTGGAGATACTCGCCGTGTCCATCCAGGCTCCGTGACAGAAAAGTCTCCTTAAGATTCAGTGTCCACCCTGAGCCATCATAAATCCTGAGCTAGTCAAATTTCTAGTGGTTTTGGCCTTTGTTTAGGTCACTAATGATAACAACATAGGCATGGAAGTTGATCCTGAAAAGTAGTGGGACTTTGTGATACCTTGTGAACAAGTATAACCTAGCTAATGTCTTTTTTCCGATGGGAAGGAAGAACTTGGGAAAGGGTGGGAATAGATTTGAGGAAGAATGTCCTGTGGCATACATAGCTGTCTGGCAATGGTATGTCGTTACTGCAAATACGGATGCTTCTGTGTTTGAGCTACTCAGACATGGACCATAGATAAAGGTATTGAAGGGGGATTGTCTTAAAGGGTGATATCTATCTATGTAATAACTGTTATGAGCGTGCCAGAGTGACTTGCATTTGTTAACTTAGGACTTCTGGCCATGTAGACAAGTTCGCTGACTTCATGGTAAAAGACGTGCAAAATGGAGAGTGCTTTCGTGCTGACCATCTATTAAAAGGTATGGTTCTTCATCTCCTTTAAGTAGAGTTAATCAAAACAAAGGGTTTTAACTTGTTTTTATCCATATTTTTCCATTCTTTTTTTTATTGAGGCATATACAGTACAATTTTTTTAAAGGATTTATTTTATTTATTTGAAAGGCAGAGTTAGAGAAGGAGAGACAGAGAGAATGCGAGGTCTCCCATCCTCTGGTTCACTTTCCAGATGACCACAATTATCTGGGCTGGGCCAGGCCAAAGCTAGGAACCAGGAGCTGCTTCTGAATTTCCAAAGTTATGTACAGTTAATTCACTATAAACAGAAAATAATTTTTCTAATTAGCAAATGAATCGACACTATCATGACTGTTCTATAAAATCAGTCATGGGGACTAGACATTGGTGCAGTGGTTAAGATGCCACTTGGGACAGCTACATCCCATATCAGAGTGCCTGGGTTCAGCCCTGATTTTACTCTCAATGACAGAGTCTTGCTGATGTAACCCTGGGAGGAAGCAGGTGATGACTCAAGTAGTTGAGTCCCTGCCACCCATGTGGGAGACCCGAATTGGGGTCCTGGCTCCTGGCTTCAGCCTAGATCAACCCCAGCCATCATGGGTATTTAGGGAATGAACCAGCACATAGGAGAGTTCTCTCAGTCTCTCTGTCTTTCAGGTAAATAAATTAAATGAAAGCTGTTAAAATTAAATAACCATAGGATTCATATAAATTAAGAATATTATCTTTAATTTTTTAGTTGTCCAACATTGAAATTCAAAATGCATTGTCCTTTTTCTCATTGATTAAAACTGATGCTTACCAACACTGTCCTTCTAGCTCATTTGCAGAAACTGATGTCTGATAAGAAGTGTTCTGCTGAGAAGAAATCAGAGATGGAAAGTGTCTTGGCCCAGGTGAGTAACCTAGGTAGGTGTCGCCTTTTAGTGTGTGGGAGCTGTTGAAGTCCACGTTGTGCTGAACCTTGCCACCCTCGTAAAGAAGCGGAGTTTCCCTATTGTCCTCATTGCATGTCTTTTTGCATGTCTTTTTGCATTTCTGTTTTCTTCTGTATCTTATTTCCTTCTGTACTTTTTGTAGCTAAACCTTCATTTTAACCAAAGTGAGGAAATCAGTGTAAATAGGCATTAAATTTGCTGTCTCTTCTTAAAAACTAGTTTTCTGGATGTTGCAGCTAAACCCAGGGAAGTATTCAGTGCAGGTGGGGAGGTTTGGGGGCAGATGACGTTATGGGCCTTGCCTCCCTTTGGTCTGGGTCTGGTTACGCTGACCCTGACTGCGCACTCTTGTTTGTAGAAGCTGATGAGAAGGCCCTGCTCTTCCGCCTTTGCTTGTCCCAGTTTGCCTACAGACTTGCAGTTTTTTAATTTGTATTTAAGTTGACAAATTTCCAGGGAAACCAAAAGAGACCATGGAAATAATTAATTTATACCTTTTGCAAAGGATAGGAATATTTTGTATATTAGAAATGGTTTTTACCCTTTTTGAGTCACAGACTACTTACTATAAGAATATGAAGGGGGCTGGCATTGTGGCATAGTGGATAAAGCTGCCGCCTACAACACTGGCATCCATATGGACACTGGTTCAAATCCCAGCTGTTCCACTTCTGATCCAGCTCCCTGCTAGGGTGCCTGAGCAAACAGCAGAAAATGACCCAAGTCCTTGGGCTCCTGTACCCACGTGGGAGACCTGGATGAAGCTCCTGGCTCCTGGTTCAAGCCTGGCCCAGCTCGGCTGCTGTGGCCATCTGAGGAGTGAACCAGCAGGTGGAAGATCTCCCTCCCTCCCTCTCTGTAACTCTGCCTTTCAGATAAATAAAAAGAATATGATGAACTTCTCCCGGAAGATGCACCTGTCCAGATATATACTGCTGGACTCTGACCTTTTCTTCAGCTGTTCCATTTAAGCAAAGTACATTTCAGTAATTCCATGTTTAGTCAAGAGGTCCACTAAGGCTCATCTCTTAAATGTTTGCTTTTTTCTTGGGAAATTACTAGATACTTTCCACTATTGCCCTGTTTGGTTTTTCTTACTAAAAATTTATTTATTTGAAAGACAGCTAGAGAGAGAGAGAGAGAGAGAGAGAGATTGATTGATTGATTGATTTTCTATCTACTGCTTTACTCCGCAAATGACCACCACAGCCAGGCTGAAGCTAGAAGCCAGAAACTCCATTGGGGCTCCTATGTATGTGGCAGGGGCCCAAGCACTTTGGCCGTTTTCTGCTCTCTTCTCAGTCACGTTAGAAGAAAGCTAGATCAGATTATTGGTGCTCCAATATGGGATGCCAGCGTCTCGGGTGGCAGCGTAACTTGCTATGCTCTAATAGCACCCTCCCCCCCAATTAAAAAAAAAAAAATGATCCATTTGTGAGGCAGAGAGAGAAAGCAAGCACAGTTGGGTGAGCTTCTGTCTGTTGGTTCGCTCCCCAGATGCCTGCAATGGCCAGGGCTAGGCTAGAAGCTAGGAGCTGGGAACTCAGGCCAGGTCTGCCATGTGGGTAGCAAGAACCCAATTGTTGAGACACCACCACTGCCTCCCAGGGTCTGTATTAGTAGGAAGCTGATTTTTCTCTGTGGTGTCTAGCTTTCCAGAATTAGCTTAGAAATTTTCTCCTTCATTTAAATTGGAAGCTTTCTTAATTTGGATGTTGAATCATCTGCCAATTTATTTTGGTCTTTTGTGAAATATGTTTTATCCCCTGCTTGAAAAGCTCATTGCTTTTAGTATTGTTTCTCATGGTTTAGAAAATAATTTCTTGTATTTTGATGCTGTTTCAGCCATCCATTCATCTCACTTCTTTCCATTTCCAAATACATGACCTTTATTAGAAAGAAGAAATGAAAATGACTAATTACCACTAAACCCTCTGTTTTGCTTGCAGACTTTCAGACTTACTAAGGTTTTGTGTATCTCTGTCCTTGATCTTAACAGTGTCATTCATTTCCTAGTAAACTGTCAGAATTGGAAAGTAACATGTTGATTTGATAAGTTATAATTTCTAATTGGAGCACTGGCTTTCTGTTCCATGTTTTAAAAGAGCAATCAGTTTTTTGATTTGCCATATTAGATATTTATGTTCTCTCTCTCTCTCTCTCTTTCTCACACACACACACACACACACACACAGATAAGCATACCTACAACAGCTGTCAGTATGATCCTCAATAAAAACCAAGAGAGCCATAGGAAATGGTATAATACTTAGAGCCCTGATGGATTCAGTGACCCAACACCCATGCATTGTTTCTGCACATAATAACATTTTCTGCACCTGCTGGTGCCTATGGTGCCTTTTTAGCTTTAGGAAGCATGATAGCTTCATTAAAGGGCACTGATTCACCTTCTGAGGTAGAAAGAACATTGTTCCTGTTACATGGATTTAATAGCTCAGAATTAATTCTCTTGTTTCTCTTCTCTGTTTTTGCTGATCCATCTCTAGATGTGCCAGTTTTTAAAATGATTTTTAAACTTCTTAAATCTTAAACATCTAAAATCTTTTAAACTTAAAAACAAATATATTTATTTATATATTATATGAAATTCTTCTACCTTGCTGGTTCATTCTCCAAATGCTGCAGTGCCAGGGACTGGGCCAGACTTGGAACCAGGCAGCCCTCCCAGGAGCTCTGGTCCTTAGTAGATGGGGCAGGGGGTTAATTGGTCATTGGCTTTAGGTCTTTTCAGTAGACTGAGTTAGGAACTTGGTGTTTTTTAAAAGATAAAATCATCATTATTTAATAGTGATACTTCTAGTTAAAGTTGGGTTTATTTGTTACTTCATTCATCTTAAATCTGTTTCACTTATACTAAAAATCTTAGTTCTCAGCAGCACCAGCATAATTACTGATAAATCTTATCCCCACTGAATACATTAATGGTCTCAGAATAGCAATACCTACTCCATCAATAATGTGAATTTTTTTTGTTTGGGTACACTGGTGTTGTGCAGTCACAGTGACATAATTGTTGAAGCTACTTGTAGTCACCCCCTCTGAATAGTTAGTGCACCAATTCAGTACAGAGTTCTTATATTTTGTTTTAGTTTAATTTTTAAAGTTTCATGTTTTTAAGTATTATATCAGATTTTCTTTCTTTCTTTCTCTCTCTCTCCCTATTTGGGAGGCAGAGAGACAGACCGAGAGGGAGAGAAAACTTCCATCTACTGATTCACTTCCCAAATACTCAGGATGGCCAGGGCTAAGCTGAGGGCAAACCAGGGGGAGCCAGGAATTCAGTACAGGTCTCCTGTATGGGTGGCAGGAATCCAATTGCTTGAACCCTCCCGGCTGCCTTCCAGGGTCTGCTTTAGCAAGAAGCTGGAGTCGGGAGCAGGAGGTGGTTATGAGTCCAGGCACTATGATACGGGATGAAAACATCTTAACATGTGTCTTAACTGCTTAACCAAATGGCTGCTGCAAGTTACATTTCATAGTTTCAAAGTCAAATCTAAAAAACAAGGCTATTTGAGCAGACCATGATGTGTCTCTTCCCTCCACCATATTCCTTCCTATCCCATGGGTAAGCAATTTTTAACTTGAAACAAAAGAACTTTCTCTTTGTTTATTGGAATACATAGACAAAGACATGGGTAACAAACACACGTTTGCGTGCCCACTTTCTAGGTAAGTGGTAGCATCCCCTAGCATTTTCCCGCACTGCGGAATTCTCACATAGCAGTGTCTCGGGGGTGCTCCGTGGTAGGATATGTCTCCAGGGTGCCCCGTGGTAGGATATGACGCTGGACCTCCTTCCCTTTGACAGCTGCAGAGCTCTGCCTTCTGTGGATATCATTTCTATAACAAGTTCCCATTGGTGGACATTTGGGCTGAGTCCCGTCTTTACCATGACAGATAGTGCTGCACTGAGTAGCCTTGTGTTTGCATCTTGTCATATTTTTGTTACTGTAGCTTTAAAATAGATTTCTAGAAATGAGATTGCTAGGTCAAGAGGTAAATGCAGCTGTGATTTTGTTAGCTATTGCTTAATTTGTGTGAGGGTTTTGATTCCTGTCTGTCCTCAGAATCACTTTCTGCCTGAATTCTTTGTTCGCTGTTCCCTCTACCGAAAAGCAGTACATATTCGTGACTTAATGTGGGAAAGAGTGATGCTCTCTGGCTGTGTAGCTTTGTCTTCTAAAAGGGAGCCCAGCTCATATTTGTGGTGTTTGTACCTTGGATGCCCCGGGGACACTTCCCCGTAGATCCAGTCTCCTGAGTAATGGTACGAAGTACGGTATTTTAGGAATTCTCCCTAGGCATTTTTTAGAAATAGAACCACAAGCCTTAATTTTTAAAACTGTTCATTTAAATCTGTGGTTAATGTGAGCCGATTACTTTTTATTTATTTTTTGTTTTAAAAATTTATTTATTTGGTGGGGTTGGCATTGTGGTATAGTAGATAATGCCATCGCCTGTCACACTGGCATCCCATATGGGTGCCAGTTCATGTCCCAACTGCTCCACTTCTAATCCAGCTCCCTGCTGATGCACCTGAGAAAAGCAGTGGTAGATGGCCCAAATGCTGGGGCCCCTGTCACCCATGTTTGCGCCTCTGATGGAGCTCCTGGCATTGGCCTGGCCTAGCCCTGTCCATTGTAGCCATCTGGGGAGTCAACCAGCCGATGGAAGATGCAGCTTTCTCTTTCTGTAATTCTGACTTTCAATTAAATAAATAAATAAATATTCAAAATAAAGTAAAATTTATTCATTTGAAAAGTAGATTTGTCATCAGCTTTTGAAATTCTTGAACTGGAGGGTATACATCATTTTACAGGGTTTCATACTGGTCAGTCATCAGTGTGTAGAAGCTGCAGTGCCCTGGAAAACACAGAGATGAGTCAGACATGGCTTCTGCCTTCTGCCTTCCAATCTAGTAGTACAGGAAAGTGGTGTGTTCATCTCACTACCAGACAAGAGAGAGCACCTGGCTCTGAAATCTGTGCAGTGATAAAAGTCAGCTTTGAAAACTTAGATGATTTTAGATCATTGCCACCCAGTAGCTATCAGAATTGAACAAGAAGTGTGGGTTGTTTTATCTTTCATTCTGAGTTGGTGAATGTGAATTTTAGGCTGGTTCCAAGCAGGTGTTCCGAACTCTATGGGTAAATGGCAAGTGTGTCATGGTTTTAATGTGGACATCCTGAAGGTTAGGTTGACGCTGATATTCTTAAATTTTGTGTGGGTTTTAAGGATGGGTGGGTGCCGTGCTCTATTTTAGGCCTTCTCTTCTCTTCTCTTTAACACTATCTTCTTGACATACCCTTCAGCTTGACAACTACGGACAGCAAGAACTTGGGGATCTTTTTGTGAACTATAATGTGAAATCCCCCACAACTGGAAATGATCTGTCTGCTCCAGTACCTTTTAACTTAATGTTCAAGACCTTCATTGGACCTGGAGGAAACATGCCTGGGTACGTATAACTCAGTATTTATTTATGAAAGGAAGCTATTAAAATGGCTTATATAAGAAGTATCAGTGCTATGAAGGAGGAATATTAAAAAGTGCTAACACAGACGGTGAAGATGGATGAAGAGAAATAATGAAATGTAAAATCCATGACTGTAATGTCTCCTAGTTATAGCATTATTTTAATAAGATACCAGATTGGTTTGATCTTACTGGCACTATGTAAGATACTGTGTTTTGACCATTGGAATAAATAAGAAAAATCCCTTTGCTAACAACAGTGTTGCCATACCAGTTACTTGATCCATTTTCTCCCTTCTCCCTCCCTCCCTCCCTCCCTCCCTCGCTCGCTCCCTTTCTTCCTTTCTAATTTATGTATTTAATTGAACTCAGAGAGGGAGAAAGAATGATCTTCCGTCCACTGGTTCACTCCCCAAATGGCCACAATGGCTGAGATTGGGCCATGCTAAAACCAGGAGCCAGGAACTCTATCCAGGTCTCCCATGTGGATGGCAAGACTCCAAGTACTTTGCCAGGCTCATTAGCAGGGAACTAGATCAAAACTGGAGCAGCTGGGACTTGAACTGGCTCACATATGGGATGTTGGTATCATAGACAGCAGCTTAACCACGTGCCACAATGCCCACCCCACTTAATAAATTTTTTAATACTTGTTATGAGATTGTTTGCCACTGAGTAAAATATCTATTTCTAAAACTCTGTTTTAGAGCATGAAAAGCCTTGTTGGAAATTGGTATACTTCTAGAATTTGTATCTAGAATTTCAGGTTTGTTGGACAGTATAATCTTTCTTTGTAACAGACTTATTTACTTAAATTTATAGGTACTTGAGGCCAGAAACTGCACAAGGGATTTTCCTGAATTTCAAACGACTTTTGGAATTCAACCAAGGGAAGCTGCCTTTTGCTGCTGCCCAGATTGGAAATTCTTTTAGAAATGAGATCTCCCCTCGATCTGGGTTGATCCGAGTCAGGTACTGTGCATGTTACTTCTATAAAGTGGGCACCGAAGGGGAAATGAAAGCTTGTTATTTTAAAACATCTCTGGTTTGTAATCCTAATTATGGATTGGTTTTTGTCTTCTCTGTAAAGAATTTTTACAGTTGTTATCTGTACATGTAATCTCTCAGATGCAGGCAGTTTGGAATGACCAAAGTTAATTTTCAGGGCAAGGAAGGCTGCTAGAAAAGACCTTGGGTTTCTTACTCCTCCAGATTTATCTTTTTCCTTTCTCCTGTGTTTGAGGATGGTGAGATCCTGGTAGTCTGAACCGAGGAAGTTCTGGGAGTGGTGTTGTGTGTAAGTGCGGCTGGGCTGGGGTGATGGTGATGGGGGGAGGCTCATTCTGGGTGTCCAGCGGACACTGCATTGCTGGATTTGGGCCGAGGCTGTTTCAGTAAGTTGGTGTTCTGGACACAGCTTCCAGAATTTGGAGGTCCTAGAAGGCCAGCCAGCAAGCCTGTCCCCTGCTCAAGTACAGACACTCCCTGTCTCCTCTAATGCCCTATTTTGTCTGATGTGACCAAGAATGTGTGGGAAGGTGGTTTTAGTTTAGTTCCACTTTTCTTTAGAAACTTACCATGACTTGAGTTTATTACTTGAGCTTTTTGTGATTTTTGTACGTTTCTTTCTGCTCTCATCTCTTAGAGTAACATGTTCCGTATAAAAGTAGATTGTGTGGCCATACTGAGCTTCATTAGGCTGTAAACGTGTTCTCCCAGCCCCAGCATCCCACCTTGTCCTCTGTTCTTTCTCACTGTAGTCAGACTTGGGCCACAGCCTAAGCCAGACACTGACTCGACTTCAAAGCACCCACAGGGCCTGCCTGGTCTTGTTGGTCCCCACGCTGCCTCTGCGTTTTGAAGCTATGGTTAGGAAGGAGTCTGCACAGCGTGGAGAACCTGTGGGGCTTCTGCGTAGGATGATGAAGTAATCAACTTCCACCAGGTGTCCTAACAGGGAGACCCTCCCAGATTCCAGGCTGTTTCACTCCCCAGGGTCTGGGCTTGTCTGTCTTGGTTTCCCCTGTTACGGTTGTGTCCAGCGAGCAGGCATCCCAATCCCAGGGAGGTGTGTAAGACTGGCCTTGTCTGCAGCCAGCCTGGCGCAGAGGAGTCCCATCGATAGAGCAGCTGTGGGAAGGTGGAAAGAACCGAGACCTAAGGCAGAGTCTCAGGCCTGTGGAAGGGAAGCAGTCAGGCCAGAAGCCAGGCTGGAGCAGAGGGTGACCCTAGGGGCTTGCTGGGAGGGGCCCACGGCTGTTTAGTCTGACAGTTTGTTCCCTGGTGTCACTTCCGTGTCCTGTGTGGATTTTGGCAGGTTTTGCAGAGCAGTACTGCCAGTTCCCTACCAGAAATCCACTTATTCTTTCATGAGCTGGCCACCCCGTGATTTGTTCCAGGGTGGGACTCGGACAGGTTTGTTCAGGGCTGAGTTCTTGATGACAGAGTTATCAGGTGATTAGTCTTTGTTTGAAAAGCAGAATGACACTCACTGAGAATCAGAGAGAGACAGAGGCATTTTCTCTCTGCTAGTTCACGCCACAGATGCCACGGCCAGGAGCCAGGAACTCCGTCTGGGTCTCCCACAGAGGTGGAGGGACCCTACTTGGAACATCATCCTCTGCCTCCTTGGGCGGGCATTGGCAGGAAGCTGGATGGAAAGGGGAGGCAGGAGTCCCGCTTAACCTGCACGTTAACCCCCAATGTGAGGTTTTGATGTGTGTATATATTATGGAATGATTACCACAGTCAAGTCAAGCTCATTGACGTAATCCATCACCTCACCTAGTTCCCTCTTTTTTTAGGGGTGAGAACACTCAGAAAATTTCAGTGTTATTAACTGTAGTCACCAAACTGATTTCTTGACAGAACAGATGGAAGGGCTTTAGCTTTTTTGGGGTTCTGAGCAGGGCCTTTCATTCATTCACTACCTTAAATGACAGAGGCTCAGTTGCTGGCCATGGTGAGCTAAGTCAGAACAGACCTCTGACATTTCTGTGTACAAGAAGTTGCTTGATGTTTGTTAAGAGACAATTAAAACCCAGGCACTGTAGGACCCAATAAGAGAGACCATTAAAAAATAAAATTTAAAAATTGAAGCTCATTTACAGTGCATTCATGTGTTTTCAGGACCCACTGGAAGCAATTTTTATTACTTCAAAAACATCTGAGATAATGATGGAAGTGCACCAGCCAATGTGTTTTTTTTTTTTAAGAGAGATTTGATTTTGACTCATAAAATTAACTTAAACCATTTCCCCCACCAGTAGCTACTAAATTGCTGTTCAGAGAACTCTCTTAGGAAAGCCATTACTCTGTGCATGTTGATTCTGTCTTTATGCAGTTAGCTTGATGTTAGCTTGTTCACTTCAGGCCTGCTGTCCTTGGCCTTGAATAACACTTCATTTAAGAAGCTCCTGCTCCAAAGAAACCAGCTGTCTGGTGCCATTATCAATCATTTACTTATTCAGTGCCGTAAAAATGAAGTAATCAAGCTGCTCTCAAAGCTAAAGAGCCATTTTAATTCACTTTTAATTTTCCTTTCTCTTAAAAGTAAATATCGGGAACTTCATTTAGTATAGAATTTATAAAGACCTGCTAATGCTTCAGAGAAAACCATTTTATTTGAATGTCACTATTCAGTATCATTTCTTTGTGTGTGTGTGTGTGTGTGTGTATGTGACATTTAAAAATGGTGTTAATCTGCTTTTCAAAAATTATTTTCCATTGAAAGCTGCCATCTTTGTGGATACGGCTAGATGGGAGGAACAGATGTTTGAGAGAGGTTTCATTGTGTGTAAATAGCGAGTAGCAAAGTTTCATTAATATGTTTAAAGACAACAACTCTAATCGGAACTGTTCTCGGCCATTCCTTTAGCAGCCCATTTCCTTCGAGGGAAGAGGCTTCTGGGTCGGGACCTTTGCAGTGCGGAATGCATTCGGAAGCGGGGGCGCTGGTCACTGCTCGGGGAAGCTGAGCATGGGGGTTTATCCCCTGTGTTTTTGCTTTCAGGGAATTCACGATGGCAGAAATCGAGCACTTTGTAGACCCCAATGAGAAGGACCACCCCAAGTTCCAGAATGTAGCAGATCTCCACCTGTGTTTGTATTCTGCAAAAGCCCAGGTCAGCGGGCAGTCTGCTCGGAGAATGCGCCTGGGGGACGCTGTGGAACAGGTACGATTCCAGGCGTGGGGTAGATGGCAGTGCCAGCCAGGGCTCTGTGCGGCTTGGATGACACAGTGCATTATTTTAGCAGCCATTTTGTTTTGCAGACTGTATTTATTTTTATACAGAATTTATTCTACAGTAGTATTATAGTGGGAGAGTATCTCCTGAATATCACAATTTCTGAGCCACCGGGGCTAACATGAAAAAAATTGTCTGACCAAGCACTAGGAAAATAGTTCTTGGTTTGAACTGCGCCTTACTGATTCCACTTTTAGCAGTGTGTTCAGCACTGGAGGAGACAGTTTGATTCTGAGAAAGCATGCCTTCTGCAGTTTAAATTCTGTATTGCCCATGGCAATCGGGAGATGAGTGTACAGGTCACAGAATCTCTCTAAATGTTTGGAGAAATGAGTGTTTGGAAACTTGGAATGTAGCTGCTGCTTAGGAGTAGACCGAGTTGCCCGGGGAAGCAGAGAGCTTCCTGGCCCTGAAAATACCCCGGAAGACGCAGGGTGGACGCTTGTCAGCCATTTTGCTAAGGGGATCCCGTGGCGGGTGGGAGAAGGGCTGGGAGGTTTCCTAGATCTTCCAGTGCTGAAACTGTCATTCCAGGGACCTCGCGGGGCTCACACGTCTCACTGCGTAGGAAGACCTTAGAATCTTCCCGACGTGTCTGTCCTTTTGCTAATTCTGGGTAGTGGTCACAACTGTCGTTTTCAGTGCTGTCGGGTTTGGAGGCGGGAGCTGCAGGGCTGAACTTACTGGTCCAGTGAGGATGCTGAACAGATGCGTGAATAACTCCATGATTGTCACCTTGATAGCTTGACAGTAACCCTTTAAAGATAACTGAGGGCACATTTTGAGTGTTCGAAATTCTTCCAGAAGCAGGAAAAAATAGTGTACTTCGTATTTGGAATTTTTTTTAGGAGATTATGAGTAACTCAGTGCGAAGTGGTACTTTGTTTTCAAAAGCATTAATGCGTGTTTCCCCTTCCTCTGTGCTTGCCTCCTGACGCCCTCAGGGTGTGATTAACAACTCAGTGTTAGGCTACTTCATTGGCCGCATCTACCTCTACCTCACCAAGGTTGGCGTGTCTCCAGAGAAACTCCGCTTCCGCCAGCACATGGAGAACGAGATGGCCCACTACGCCTGTGACTGCTGGGATGCCGAATCCAAAACATCCTACGTGAGTAGTGTGGAGTGGTCTTGACTGTGTGTTTTTCATGCTGTGGGCTTAGAAACATGGATATCAAACTTAGAAACATGGATATCAAACTTAGAAACATGGATATTTGGGGTGTGTTATGTCAGAGTAGAACAAGAGAAGAGACAGGAGATCTTTTCCTGAGCAAATGATGAAAAACAGATGTCCCCTGCCTTCCTGAAAGGAAGGGGTTACTCTTTGTGTCCAGAGTCTTTTGTAGACGTAGACAGCTTCTTGAAGTTGAGGGAGAAGGGAGGGAGAGGGGTGGAGTGTTACTGGGTGAGGGGCATGGGGCATGGGGTTGAGTGAGAACATTGTGGTTCTCAGCTTCAAGTGCTGTTTGGTAGACTACTAGATTCTCATCTCCTGTTTAGGAACTGCCTTTTTTCAAATTCTATGTATTTAATAAAAATTCATTGCAGTGGGTTAAGCCATTTCTTTGGACATCTGCATCCCCCATCAATGCTGGTTGTAATTCCAGTTACTCTGCTTCTGATCCAGCTCCCTGCTAGTGTGCCTGGGAAGCAGTGGATGATGGGCCAAGTACTTGGATCCCTGCCACCCATGTAGGAGACCCAGATGGAGTTCTAGGTTGTTGGATTCGGCCTTATCCATCCGGTTTCAGCCATTGCAGCCATTTGGAGAGTGAACCAATCAGTGTCTCTCTGTCACTCTGCCATTCAAATAAATAAATAAGTCTTAAAAAAATTCAGAGGTGTCCTGGTCACCTCTGCACTGCACCTGCAGTGGACATTAGTATTGGAGCTTGAGAGAAAAGGCATTTGGATATGGGGAGCTTTCCGTTTGGGTGGCATTCGAAAGAGAGGGGCTGAATGTCCTTTGGCCTCCACTGGTTGAGTGTTGGAGAGGCCTTCACGTCCACGTAGAAAGATTCGCTCAGCTCACTCTGCTTCCCACACACCCTGGCTTTCACTTTTTGGAGCGGATTTTTATGGATTCACTTTTTTAAAAAATAAAAATTCATCATACTAAAAAGCAGTGGCTCCCTTTTGTAAGAAAAAAAGAAAAAGACAGCTCTGAAGACTCTGATGTAGGAAGTGAAACCTCCCTCCTCGTGCCTCCCTCCAGAAGTGTTTCGTGGCTCTCCCCTGTGCTGGAGGTGGACTAGCCTTGGCTCTAAAGGGCCAACTAGTATTTTCAGCTCTGCCAACCACATGTGGTCGGTCGGTCTTCTTGCTGTTACAAATGGCCATCGTCTTGTCGTGCCCTGCGTGATACAAAGAGCCCTCTGGTGTCTAAGTAGTTTATGTGTTATGAAGAAGTAAAACCTGACACAAATGTGGTCATCATGCTGCTACTTAGTTTTGTCTTGTGGCTGAATCTTTACCCACTCTTTACTTCCTGCTCTTTGGTTCAGTAGAGAAAGTGATGGACACTAATGCCCATGTGTGGCCAGCTGAGGAGTGTTGTTCTGGCAGTCATCTGGTGCCCAGTGGTGACAGCAGTAGGCCCTTTATCCAACACAGTTCGTTCTGAGTCCTGCCGACAAATTTGAATCAGATCCACAAGTCTTGTCTAGGCTCCTGGGATATACTAGTTGACCCCACAGCCACAGTATGGCAATGTCTGTCTCTCTGGGAAATAAGACTGCTTGATGTGCAGTGTGAGTTGGGTTTTACAGGCTTGTCAGCCTCCTGGCGTACAAAGTATTTCCATTTCCTGTACTGATAAGGTTTGAATGGAGATTGGATAGTTGAAGTATCCTGGAATACCTGAGTCAGAGTCCATGTGTATTTCTGAGTGAACTGAATGTAAGTAATGAATGCTCTGATCTCTTATGTCTCCTTAGGGCTGGATTGAGATTGTTGGGTGTGCCGACCGTTCCTGTTATGACCTCTCCTGTCATGCCCGAGCCACCAAAGTCCCACTGGTAGCTGAGAAGCCTCTGAAAGAGCCCATATCCTTTCTGGTCACTCTGAACACTCGGGACCAGACTAACGTATGAGTCCAACTCTGTGTCTTGTTCTGTGAGCAAATTAAGATGTCCTGGATGTAGTGGTTGCACTTTGCAGGCCTGGTCACTGTTTTGCGGCTCCTCTCCTGGACTGTCTTGTGCCTGACAGGTGCCCAGTGTTTGGCCTGCCTTGAGCCACTTTTCTCAGCCATTTCCGAAGTCCATTTATCCACACCTATACCTACCTACAAGCTCCTCAAGTAAAGGGTAGCAGGCGAATGCTTTTTCTTTAAAAGATGAGTGTCATTTTATAATAAGTGAAATAATAACTTTGCTCAGTTGATGTATAAATCAGCACATAGAATATTTCCTTTTTTAATACCAGCAGTGAGGTTGTGAGTTGGTTTCTTAGAGCTAGGCTAGGGACAGGAAATAGATCTTGTTGTGTTGGGCATTTTAGAAATGAAATTGTTACCATAACTTTAGGTCGTGGATGGGGTTAGATTGCTAGTTAGAGAATATCCCTCTGACCGCACTGTAACTGGAACATGTCTGCTGATGAGTATGTGTCAGCGTTAGCGGGATCTGGGGTGCTGGTGGGAACAGGGGTGGTTTTCCTGATGACAGGTTGTTTTCTGAAACACCACGGCAGTGCTCTGTGTTTGGATTCCTTGACTACTTCCTACAAAACTGTTCATGTCGTCCAGTTTGAACCCAATAAGGGAGCAATAGGGAAGGCTTACAAGAAGGACGCCAAGCTGGTGATGGAGTACCTTGCCATCTGTGACGAGTGCTACGTCACGGAGATGGAGGTGCTCTTGCGTGAGAAAGGGTAAGATTTGGGGTGTTGCCTTGTGTGTGCTCCCTCAGGTACGCCCTGTCTGCCTGGTTCCAACAGTCGGAGTGAGGTCAGTTTGTTCAGGAATTTTGCAGGTGAGCACTGCCTCTCGGCTGCATTTAAAGAACTGTCTGCTGTGGTTTTGACAGATAGCCTGAAAATAGATTCCAAGTGGCTCTAAAGATTTACTTTTCTAGTTAACTCTCTGAGAGGAGGCAGCTCGCTCAAGATGATGAAGCTGCATCTCCTCACAAGTCAGTGCTGCTTTTTGGAGGCTTGCAGTACTCTAGGACTTTAAAACGTCAATATAAAAGCAGTAAGAGGCCTTTAAAGGAGTATAGTAAAGTCTCGCACTAACAAGGGGAACAGTCAGCAGAAAAACCAAACGCGATGACCACTGGTGAGGCTGTGAGAACAGGTACCATGGGTGTGCTTCATGTGCGCCTGCAGGTGAGGGCTGCCAGATGGATAGACGAGAACCGAGTGGGACGGCTGAAGGGACGGTGTCGCGGGAGAGTGTCACTGCAGAGGAGGGACCGTGACACAGCCGCAGAGACTGAAGTGAAGCCTGGACTGAAGGAGCGCGGGGCAGGACGTCCTGTGGGCCACTGCAGGTGGCCAGGAAGAAGAGCGGACAGTGCAGGAGCTTAAAACCTTCCCGATTTAACGAGGCTGTGACTCCGCCTTCCCGATGCTGGACCCCAGAGGATGAGACAACGAAAGCCAGTGTAGGCAGGGGAAGGGGCTCGCCACGTGGAAGTGGACAGAGATGACAGCCGTTGGAATTCTCTCAGAAACCATGCAAGCCCACGGTACAGTGCAGTGCAGTGCAGTGGCATCTTTAACATGCTCAGAGGAAAATATCCTGAACCCAACAAAAATATATTTCAAAAATAAGAGGAATGCTTCCAGACAGATAGAAGCTCGAGACCTCATGTCCAGTAGACTCCTCTGCGGAAAGGTGCAGAAGTAAAATGTGTGCTGTCAGCAACCCAGGGGGCGGAGCCAAGACCTGGGCACGGACGTCTGGGAAGTGTGGCACTGTTAGGAGGTCAGCTGTGATGAGTTGAAAAAGGCAGGAACAAGCTCCAGAGCATTCACCTGGGAAAATAGCAAGCAAAGGAGTATCATTAATAAACCGATATTGGAGATAAGATAGAATAATACAAAATACTCCAGAAGAAGATAACAGAGAAAAAGGAACGAAGAACAGACGGGACAGATGGAGAATGACTAGTGAGGCGGTGAATTTAAAGTCAGAACTATTAAGAGTTACAATGAGCTAAACGCTGGAACTGATAGCGTTGATTGTCCAACTGTTTAAAAATTTCAAGACCCAGTTAAATGGTATTGTACAGGGAAATCTTTGTCATTGTAATTCCTAAGTAGGTGCAAGAGTAAAAGGATCAAAGACTTTTTTTCCTGAAAAATGTTAATTCGGTTAATCTCAGACAATGTTTACCATAAGAGAAAATAAATTTGAGAACAAGGACAGTTACCAGGAGCAAAGGGAGTGCTTCATGAGAATAAAGGGGTGAGTTTATCAAAAGCATAGCCTCTGATTATACAAAGTGCAGTTGGTAGGTGGAAGGAAAAAGACAAACTCACAATCAGATGGAGATTTCTGTACCTTTCTCTCAGTAACTGATGGAGCAGGCGGACAAAAATCAATAGGAATTGGAAGATATAGACACTACTAATCAACTTAACCCCATTGCCTTTTATAAAGCAGTCTGATAACTGGAGTACACGTTTTTGAAAGTTCCCTTGAACTACCTATTGTAATGTTCTTGGGAGATTCCTAGTAAGAATGATTTTTGTATTTTCAAAAGCCTCCAAAGAATGTGAGAGACTACATATGGCCTGCAAATCCTGAAACATTTCACATCTGACCCTTTACAGAAAGAGTAAATGCCAACCCCTGTCATAGCTTTAGACCACATGACGGAAGCCATACACACCAGATGCTGTGCTGCTCAGCTCCAAGGATGGCAGATCTGGGGTGCAGAGATGGCAAGCAGATCCCTGATGGACTGGGAGTGGGGGCTGACGGAAGGGAGTCCCAGGGAGCCTTTGGGGCCATGATGGTTGTGTTTCTATATGTTTGTTGGGAAAACTCATATAAGGTGAGCTTTTTCAAGTTGAAGTTAGGATTATTCACTCATAGGAAAATTTTAAAACATTTCTGGTCTTCCAGAATTAACATTTATGCTAAAATGACAACAAAACCCATTAAAAATGGACAAAATTTTATCACTAGTTAGATGTCATTATTCACAAGAAAGGGAGGTTTCTGTATTCTCAAATAATGGTTGTCTTCCATGCTAATTGCAGTTCTTAAAGCTTTTTTTATATGCCTACTCTACCCTGGACTGTGCTCAGAGAAAATACGTATGACACTGTATGTATTGGTACTTTTCTGTTTTTTAAGATTTATTTATTTACTTGGAAGGCAGAGATAGAGAAATCTTCCATCCAATGGTTCGCTCCTCAAATGACTGCAATGGCTAGGGCCAGGCCAAGCCAAAGTCAGGAGCTCCATCTGGTCTGCCACATTAGTGGCAGGGGTTTAACTACGTGGGCCAACTTCTGCTGATTTCCCAGGCGCATCAGCAGGGAGCTGGATCGGAAGTGGAACAGCCAGGACTCTCCTAATGGCACTCATATGGGATGCCAATGTCTCAGGGAGGGGTTTAGTCCACTGCACCACAATGCCAGCTCCTCTGATTGTACTTTTAATGCATCCACACAGAGAATAGTGGAATGGAAGCAGTCAGTGGAAAGCATTCAGGTGAGGAGCGGCTCATCACAGGCAGCAGCGAGCACGTGTAATAATGTGTGCTGCCCACCATACAGCTGCGGAGACAGCCACAGGGGGGCTCTCTCCTGGCGCTGAGCTGCTGAGAAGGAGAGAATCCAAGATGGTATTCATGGTGTGAGGCAGTACCTTAAAAGCTCAGACACAGGTATCGTGTGCATGCTGTGTGCAGCTGAGCTCTGGTAACATGAAACTGGGCCTGTCTCGGGACGTGAACACGTTGTGACTGCAGTAATCCAGATTGGCATCAAGCACTGTTAAAGCTGAGCTGACACGTGAGCGTCAGAGTTTGTGTGGACGGGTGTGGGAATTTTAAAATCGCTCTGTGAGATGATGAGTTGGTTCATTGCAATGCTTGTTGGGACCTTACACCAAGTGAAAGAAGCCTGATGTTTTTCATTCTAACATGGAATTGTTTTTAAAGTTGTTTTTCATTTAACCTGGAGCTCAAAACCAAAGGGATTTGGTTAAGTCACTTGTGGAATTTTATAAAACTAAGTCACATTTTTGGATTCTTTCCCAGAATCTTATTTGATGCCATTTTTGGAATAATGCTTAATTTGTTGTTCCTGTGGAAATAATGTAAATTTCAGGTATTATTTCTAGGAAATCAAACACATTGTATTATACATAAAAATCAAAAAAAAATTAGCAGACTGTGAAACTTCTTTAAAAATTAAGGCACGGGGTACATGTTCTAACTAATATAGAATATATTTTTTTTTTTGTAGGGAATTCACTATTGAAACTGAAGGGAAAACTTTTCAGTTAACAAAAGACATGGTCAGTGTGAAGAGGTTCCAGAAAACACTACATGGTAAATTTGTAAAGATACTTAAAAAAAAAAAACCATTAGTCCTTGCATTTTTTTAGAGATTTATTTATTTATTTGAAAGGCGTAGTTGGGGCCGGCACTGTGGCATAGTGGGTTAACGCCTGGGCCTGAAGTGCCGGCATCCCATAGGGGCGCTGGTTCTAGTCCCGGCTGCTCCACTTCCGATCCAGCTCTCTGCTGTGGCCTGGGAGAGCAGTAGAAGATGGCCCAAGTCCTTGGGCCCCTGCACCCACGTGGGAGACCCGGAAGAATCACCTGGCTCCTGGCTTGGGATCGGCACAGCTCTGGCCGTTGTGGCCAGTTGGGGAGTGAACCATCGGATGGAAGACTCTCTCTTGCTCGCTCTCTCTACCTCTCCTCTCTCTGTGTAACTATTTCAAATACATCTTTAAAAAAAAAAAAAAAAAGGCATAGTTACAAAGAGGCAGAGCTGGGGAGAAAGAGAGAGAGAGAGAGAGTGGTCTTCTATCCACTGTTCACTTCCCAGATGGCTGCAATGGCTGGAGCTGCGCTGACTCGAAGCTGGGAGCCAGGAGCTTCTTCCAGGTCTCCCACACGGGTGCAGGGGCCCAAGCACTTGGGCCATCTTCTACTGCTTTCCCAGGCCATAGCAGAGAGCTGGATCAGAAGTGGAGCAGCTGGGACTCAAACTGGCACCCATATGGGATGCTGGCACTACAGGTGGTGGCTTTACCCACTATGCCACAGTGTCAGCCCCAGTCCTTACATTTTTAAAAAATGGTTTATGATATAACCATTGCATTGAAAATTTGGAGAGAGAAAAAATTCCTTAATGCCACACCACAAATTTGATACATGTGTTTGAGACACTCATTTGGGCCTTTCTTTTCTTTTTTACCACCTGTTGTACTCACCCTCAAAGATAATTCATAATCCTACCTTTTCCTGGGGCTTGAGGTAAATGTGAAGATTCTCTTGGATTAAAACTTCCTTTTTTCTTATTAAAGAAAAATCATTTTATTTGTTAAGTGAAAGAGGGAACTTAGCCCTCATGCTTTCTGGCAAAGGAAGTTGTTCACGTCATTTGGATCAGTGACCTTTCATGCTTTTTTAAAAGTGAAGGAAGTGGGGTTGTGTGTGTGTGTGTGTGTGGTTTTTTTTTTTTTTTTTTGTAGAACAGATTCTATGAATTGGACAGTGAGTATTTTGGAGCAGGTGTTGTGAAGGGTGCTGATGGTTATTTGTGCTGAATTGAAGCTCCTGGAAATGGGATAGCAAGTGGGTGTTTTAGACGCTCGTGGCAGCCCAGGGAGGGGCCGCCTATGCCCTGGTTCTCTGCTTGCTTTGTGGCCAGGCCTCCCTGAGCAGTGCCGGGCTGAGCAGGGGCTCCTTTGTGCCGGGGGCTTTGTACCAGCATCACGGAGCTGCCTCAGAGCTGTAGTTGAATGAGCGGAACAATGACTTGGATGACTTGGCAATATTTCTGAAGTATTATTCTTTATCATAGACAAAGGAAACAATCTCTCTCCCCTAGATACGTCAGTTTTTAGTGCTAGTTTACCTCCTTTCCTTCCCCTAAAGCATAAACCGTCCAAGGTCATGGTCAATTGTCTTAGACCTGGAAAGTGCTCAGTGCTTCCTTTCCACGTCATCAGTAGCAATTATCAGTGTGGTTCCTGCGTGTACCATAGGCGTAGCTTCAGCCTGGGAAGAGATGTAGCAGACATAAGAAATGTAAAGCAGACATAAATCATGATATTTGGTACAGGCAGAGATTGTGTTTGTAATTTTGCCAGCCATGGTGGTAGATTTTTAATTCTAGAAAAGTCTTAATTAAAGCTCTAGATTTTTTTCTGCTTTCTGGATGGGCAAGGCCGGTGACTAAGACAATGTAACTGGTTTATAGCTTACAGCTGGGGAAGAAATGCTCAGGTACCCGAAGAATTAATTTGGTGAAAGATTTTTACTCCAGCTTTATCTTGAAAGGTGTCCTGTTTCCTGCCTGCAAGTAGCTTTTAGGAATGTTCTGATTTTTGTCCTAGTGTGCAGAGGCCATAATCCACCTAGAAAAGGTATTTTTAGTGCTGAGAACTGTTGAGAGCATCTGTGGTGGGTCACGTGGCATTTGAGAGACTTACTGAATTTCCGTCTCTCCTGTAGTGGAAGAAGTTGTTCCGAGTGTAATCGAACCGTCCTTTGGCCTGGGCAGGATCATGTATACGGTGTTGGAGCATACATTCCACGTGCGGGAGGGAGATGAACAGAGAACGGTGAGTTGTCAGAAAACAGAACGTGAACAAGACTCTGCGGCGATCAGTTGTTCCTTGCCAGGAGCACGAGTGATGTTGACATCCAGCCTTGCTTAACTGTTCACAGGCATAGCTTGAGCATGCTATTTTATTTGGGCTTTAGGATGTGCAGGTTATTCTAGAAGCTATTTTAGCTGTCTGGTGCTCTGTGTTCAGAAGCTGTTTCTTTGAGGCACTATCTGTGGAAAGAACGGAAGTTTCTGGATACGCTCTCCTTTTAGAAAATTGGGAAGGGTGAGTCAACTGAGAAGGTATTGAAGGGAGCCCTTTGAAACTGCATGAAATTGTGGTTCTCTTGGGGTGAAGCTGTGAATCCCTAGATTCTGTCCCAGAGATGCTGATTCGCTGTGTCTGAGACCTAGGGACCTGTGCATGAGCCCTGGGTGGTCCAGTGTGGGAGACTGACAGATCCTAGATTGGGCAGTGGTGTCTGCGGCATAGCCTTCCTGGTATCCCAGCTCTGGTGAGGATAGAAGTTGGTGAGAGGTCCTCTTGGCTGACGCCTCTGCTCTACTATCTCCCAGCCTACCTTTCACCTTCCTCTCTGCAGAAACTGGACTGCTTTAATTTGTATATAAATTTCTAGAAAAACCAATCCAAAGAATGAGTTGGAAGGAGAGGTCGCATATATCAGATTAATTGAAAGAAATAATTGCATCCACGTGACCATTCTAAGGCTTAAGTGTATATAATGTTGGATATCAACTCTGTGATCCTTTCTGGGTCATTGAAGAATGTACTGATGAGTTCTTGACACTGGTGTTTTATTTTTTAATTTTTATTTATTTGAGAAATAGAGAAAGAGAGAGACAGATCTCACATTCGGGGTCACTCCCCAGATGCTCACAGTGGCTGGGGCTGGGCTGAGGCCAAAGCCAGGAGCCCATACTCACTCCTGGCCTCCCACGTGGGTGGCAGGAACCTGGTTGTGTGAGCCGCCAGCACTGCCTCCCAGAGTCTGCATTAGCAGGAGCTGGAGCGAGGAGCCAGAGGCAGGCACCAAGCCTAGGAACTGCAGCACGGGACACGGCGTCCTCACCAGCACCCACACTGCTGTACTATGCAGCCAAAAAACTTAGCCTTTCCATCGCTGCCCTAAAGTTGCAGCTCCACTTCCTGACGCTGAGGGTGCAGCTCTTGAGTCTCTCAACGAAAGTAAGAAGCTGGGCGAGGCACCAGACGTGCCACCTGCAGGCTGGGTCTTCCAGAGGAGCGATGATGCACATACAGCTCAGGTGTCAGGTGGACCTCAGCTTCTCCTGCTTGCTTTTCTTAATAAAAAGGGTTTTCAAAGAATCTTTTAGCTGTTCCCTTGGATCTAGTAATGCTGATAGAATTAAAATGTTAATGGAAGCTTCATAAGGGCTGAACACGAATAAATTAGTCACAGTGTTTTATGAATTACATCCAAAGTCCCATCAGGAAGAGAAATTTGATTAGGCTGTGGGAAACCTTTGGTTTATTTGCCTGTAACTTTGGTATAAAAGCATTGCTAGAGAAAATTTAGGAAGTCTTTCCTGTGAAGCAGGTTGCTGCTTCTCTCGTCTATGAAATCGAATCGTCATAGCATGGAGGAGGGAGAGAACTCTGCCCTCTGTGGTACAGGCAGCGTTGTTGGTGGCCAGCAGGATACTCATCATCAATTGGCATTCATTGTTTTGTAGAACAGATTTATTCCAAATTCCATGTTCCTGCCTTCCAGCCTTCGTCTTGTACCAATACGTAAGAATTGCCTTCAGCTCTCGTTTCCAACTGAAGTTGGTAGACTGTCTTGCCTCCCACAGAATATCTTGGCTCTCATTTCTGAGTTACTCAGAAACCTGTTCCAGTAACAGGCTGGTGGTGGCGGGGTGGAGGGCTATACTTAGTCTAAGTGTACAGAGCACCTGTTTCTGTTTTGTCCTCTGTCTTTTGGATCAGTGCTGTGTGGGCTAATGAAGCCCTCCTGTTCCACTTAATCCCAATGTATAGATTCTTCCCCTATGGGACTGACAAGGATTTGGGCTTGGTACTGTTCTACCCCTTGTTAGTGAATTGGGGACAGATCCTTGAGGTGCTTTCTACAGGAAAGAGTGGGGTGTTGATGTGGAACCAGAAAATTCCATGTTACGCATGTGTCACTTGCACCCCCTTTGACTTTTTCTAACAGACCTGTGCATATAACTGACCTGAGCAGTCAGCAGCGCAGGGAATGAGAAGGCGAGATTGAGGGGAGGGCTTCGAAGTCAGAGCTGAAACTCTGTGTCTGATTCCAGTTTAGCTGTGGGTTCTCTTCTGTCATTCTGCCCTTCATACCGCGTTTCCTGGCGTAGTGAAAATACGCATGGACGCCCGCCCACTGAGGGGCATCAACATTTGTATATTAATAAACTAACATGCCTTGTATTTTTTTGTTTTTTAACATCATCCAGTTCTTCAGTTTCCCTGCTGTCGTCGCTCCATTCAAATGCTCCGTCCTTCCACTGAGTCAAAACCAGGAGTTCATGCCATTTGTCAAGGAGTTATGTAAGCAAACCCAATTGCCTAATCTCCATGGGAACATCACCAAGTAGACCAAATTTTAGGAAATATGTCATTTATTTCAGTAAAAATATAGATTGAATAACGAGTGCTTCTAAGGGATGTTAGCCGTTGTATCTGGGAGGGCGTGCTTGCTCAGGGTGTTTCTGCATGAATCAAGACAGGGCCCGACAGCCAGGCCTAAAGGTTACCTGCCCACTTCATCAGGGAGTCTGAGCAGGGGTACGGCCCTCGTGGGTCTGTGCGCGTTGAAGGCGTCCTGATAGTCATCTGCTGCTGGGGAGCAGATTGAGCTGCTGAGGCCATGCGAGTGACCGCCCCTGGGTGTGGACTTGGTCTCACCTCCTGCAAGTCGACCTGGGTGTGGACTTGGTCTCAGCTCCTGCAAGTCGACCTGGGTGTGGACGTGGTCTCACCTCCTGCCCCTGCAGCCACAGCGATGGAGGATGAGGGAAGGTTTGAGCTTCAGCGAGGGGTTGACATTTTTCTTTCTCTTGCAACTAGGATTTGTTGCTCTCTTGTCTTGGTCTCTTTTCTAAGTTTCTGAGCTTACAAGACAGGTAAAAAAGCAATAGATGACATTGGGACTTACTCCATTGTTCTGTTTGTAATTTTCTTCATGTATTTTGGGTAGCGGAAGCCCTGACCAGGAACAGCGTGTCTCACAAAGTGGATGATTCCTCCGGGTCGATCGGAAGACGCTATGCCAGGACTGATGAGATCGGCGTGGCTTTCGGCATCACCATCGACTTCGACACAGTGAACAAGACCCCTCACACTGCCACGCTGCGGGACCGCGACTCCATGCGGCAGATCAGGGCAGAGGTACCTGCCTTGTCTCTGGGCGCTGCTCTCCCTGACTTGAGTTGGATTTTGCTGTTTCTATGCCTCTTTCCATTTGCTTATTTATTTATTTTTAATTTTAATAATAGGTTTGTATCAGACAGAACCCAGACTCCCAAGTCCCTTTGGTTTAATTATGAAAGTATCCATTAGCACTTCTCTGTTATTCATAGCCATTTGTACAGCTCTGAGCTCATTCCCTGGCAGTTTGGTTTTATAGTTGTTTGTTTATAGGGCAAGAGAAACATGATCCCAAGAGCTTGTTGCCATAGTTTTATTGGCAGGCTTTTGGGGGCCGAGACGTTTTTATCTTCCTATTTCTATAGAAACGTATGCGTGAGTATGGACAAGTGTTTCTGTGTAATCCATTCAAAAGTGACTCAGCTACCAGCGACTTGACGCGGTGGGAAGGAGTCGTGGAATGGGAGCAGCACAGGGAGAGAAGGGTGGTAAGGGGACACAGAGGCCAGCGGGGGGAGCACCGCTCGGCCCTGCGTTCATCCACTCTGAGCATTTCTATTTAGAGTGCCTGTTCTGTGCTCAGCCCCATGTGGAGGTAGTGACCGGGAGAACAGTGGAGGCTGCTTTTTCCCAGAGGGCGAAATAATCTGGAAGCCGTGGACTCTGGCTTGTCTTTTCTTAAACCCTGCCTGGCTGCCCTGGACCTGTGTTCACAATGTGACCCCCAGCAGTGGCCGTGGCAGCACCGCTTAGGAGCTGGTTAGACAGCCTGTCTGCCCCAGCCCTGCTGGCGCGGGCAGAGCGAGGGCTTGGGGAGCCACTGCCATTTTGCCAGTCTCCCCTGGCCCGCTTCCTGTGTTACTTTCAACTTAGGTTGACGTGGAGGTTTAGGATAATGGGAAGGCTTTGCGGCAGAACTGAGTTACCCAGGGGGGCCAGGGAGCACAGTGGGCTGGAACGGTGGCCCAGGCCTGCGCTGGGGGCAGGGAATGAGTGGAGCTAAGTGGAGACTCAGGAAGTACTCTGCAGAGCTCAGCTGGTAAAGGGCCCTGTTCAGTTTCCTGGGTTCAGTGAGTCGTCTCCTGGAAGTCTTAGCAAGTTGACTGATCTTGGGTTTCTCTTTGCTTTCGCCCCAGGTCTCTGAACTGCCCACCGTAGTGCGCGATCTGGCCAGTGGCAGCATCACGTGGGCCGATGTGGAGGCCAGGTATCCCCTCTTTGAAGGGCAAGAGACTGGTAAAAAAGAGACGATCGAGGAATGAGGACAATTTTAGCAACTTTTTACTGCTTGTGCTAATAAATAAAAATAACTCTTATCATGTCCACTTTACCAAAAAACAACATCCTTCGCGGTTGCCCAAGACTGTGTCTCATCCCCAGTGGCTGCCGGATTTTACCCCCACAATTAAAGTCCAAGGAATTCCATTTGCCTGTGTGGTTCTTTTGCATTTCTCCCATTGTTTGACATCCACATGGCTTAAGGGCCAACACAATTAGCACATGTTTAAGTTAACAGCTTTGTAGGAGCATGACTTACGTTGTGTAGGAATCGCCACAGCTGCTTGGACGGCCTCCCCAGCACAAGAAAGCCTCACACAACCCTTTTCCCATCGCTCCCCACGCCAGCCGCAGCCCCAGGCAGCCACTGATCTCCTTTGTGTCTCTCTGGATTTGCATTTTCCCTTTCTCTTTTTGTGGTGAAGAGATGACAGCCCCTCCGTGGGTGGAGCCGCTTCTGGGAAAGGCTGAGGTGGGGATGGGGTAGCAGGCTGTGTGCTGGTGGGCGGGGGAGAGAGGGCAAGGGCTGCTAGCCCCAGGGTTCTAAACAGAAGTCTCGGCCGGCGCCGTGGCTCAATAGGCTAATCCTCCACCTTGCGGCGCCGGCACGCCGGGTTCTAGTCCCGGTCGGGGCGCCGGATTCTGTCCCGGTTGCCCCTCTTCCAGGCCAGCTCTCTGCTGTGGCCAGGGAGTGCAGTGGAGGATGGCCCAGGTGCTTGGGCCCTGCACCCCATGGGAGACCAGGAAAAGCACCTGGATCCTGGCTCCTGCCATCGGATCAGCGCGGTGCGCCGGCTGCAGCGGCGGCCATTGGAGGGTGAACCAACGGCAAAGGAAGACCTTTCTCTCTCTCTCTCTCTCACTGTCCACTCTGCCTATCAAAAATAATAATAAAAAAAAAATAAAAAAAAAAATAAACAGAAGTCTCTGCTCCACTGGAGGTTCCCAGAGGGAGCCCATGACAGAAGCACCCATCGAACAGCGCCCTTGTGCTTGGCTCCACGGGCTGCCCTGGAGCCCCACCTGTCTTACCTGGCTTGGCAATTCTCAGCCGTCACTGGGTCTTGATTCTAACCTAGTAATTTGGGGTCAGCTTTATGGTACTCCATGATATAATTCGGATAGGACGCTGAGAAGACCAACGCTGATTTGTAAGGAAGAGGTTCCAGGCTGTGTGAATGTGAGCAGCTGTTTGTTTGTAGTGAGGACCTTGTCTGGTGCCCCCGCTTCCTGTGAGCAGAGCTGGGCAGGGTGGTGGCTGCACAGCGTGCTCTCTTGTCTTGGCTGGGAAGAGCAGTGGAGCTGTGATTTCTTAGATACACAGTCGGCTCGCCCCAGGGTCTCTCTCCTTTGTGTCTCATCTCCCAGGATGCCGGCTGGAGCACAGTAGTAGATGCTCACAAGTCTGTGAGTGAGTCTCAGATTTCCAAAGCAGCGTCTGGGAAGAGAGCTTTACAGTGAGGTTTATTCCTCCCCTCACCGGTGCTCGGAGCAGCATTCATTATGAACTTGGAAGGAGCTGCGTTTCACATGAACCGAGCCCCTGTTTTCTCACTTGTAATTCCTTATGCTTAGGCTCTGACCTGGGCTCAGATCCCGCGCTCCCACCTGTCTGCTTCCCACCGACATGTTGACTGCCTTTCACAGCAGGTGCCTCCCTCTCAGCAGCACAACCTGAGACATCATTATGAGCTCATTAACGGGGAAAGATGTATTCAGTCCATAGTGGGATTCACCTGCGTTGGCTCGTAAAGGGACTGGAGTCGGCGAATGCGTCCATCATGAGTTACAGACTGGATGTGAAAGCTGCCAGCCCGCCTCGCTCCAGTCCTTCCCCCAGGGACAAAGTACGCTTTCTCCTAAGAGAACACCTATCCATGATTGATGACCCGAGTGAGGCAGCCGGGCGGACCAGCAGCAGAGTTCTCCCGTCCTGTGGAGCAGGCAGAGGGTGGTTTTTCAAATGCAGAGGCTCTGCCTGTGGGTTTGCATGTTGTGGTCAGGCCCAGGCTCTGTTTGAAGACTGCTGTGGCCATAGGTATGGAACCGTGAGTGAGCTAGGAAGAACGAGATGGATAGTGTCGGCTCAGTGAGGTTACTCCTGCTCCTCCCTCCCCCCAAAATGAATGCTGGGAGAGGTCCAGGTACCAGCTGGTTCCCAAGTGTGCAGGAACACTTGGGCTGGGGTCTGAGGCCTTCAGTCCGGTGGAGTGTGGAGTTGTCTGGTGAGGGCTGTGTGCCTGGCTCTCTGCAGTTCAGCACGGTCGTGGTGCTGAACAGACCCTGATGGCAAAGTACTGTGTGCAGATAGATGTTCCAGAAAAGGAGTTCATCACCAGGTCGTAGGAATACAGGAGCGGTCTCCCCTCCTGAAATGGTACTAGAGATGTCACATGTCCCAGGGTCTTTGTGACAAGTTACTTTGTTCAGGTAATCACTTGCTGTAGATCTCCTTCTAGATCTTGCGGTACGGCTCCCTTGACCTGTAGGCTCTCAGGGCGGCAGTCAGTGGAGTCTGTTCCTCAGAGGACCGGATGTCCTAGAGAGAAATGCACATTGCTTTGGCTGCACCTCCGTGAAGCGCCCTGGAGGGAGAGGCGTGAGGAGCACCGTTCTGTCTCAGAGCCTTGTGCCAGCAGCATCTTTGCTGATTCTCTGTTAAGGCAAGTGTTTCTGGCATTGGGTCAACACCACGATGAAATCTAGTTGAAAATTCAGTAAGTGAATGGATGAATGATTTTGCTGTGTCTGGAAGTTCACCTCTTGTTGGCCTGTTCAATAATTCTTGGTTACTGGGTAGCCACTGAGCCGTAATCGAGTTAAGACCATGGGGATGGAGTTCATGACTCCTCCAGAAACTGGGACATGATTTGGGAGCTGCTCTCCCATCTCACCCAGATGGTCTGTCTTCCTCGCAAGTTAAAGGGCACGCCTTTTAAAACCTGTTGCTTCAGCACAAGGCGTGAGGGCAGTGACTCTCAAAATGCACAGGTGTGGGCCGCACCTCTGGTTTAATTAACTTCCCTGAGGCGTGGCCTGGGCATCAGCATTTCTTGTCACTGCTGCACCACTAGACTCATGAGCTGACTTGCCACATGGAATGCTGGATCCGTGGCTTTGCCCAGAGGGGATTCCTCTGAGGCCATGAGTTTGTAAGAACCTCGAGTGCAGTGAGGGAAGCAGGTGTGGGGGTGGGATGGGGGTGTGGCCGCCACATCTTGCTGGACGGTGATGGGGGCTGGGGTGGCCAGAGGGCAGGGGCTGCACCGAGCTCTACTGGAAATAAAGTAAGGGGTGCTCTGGGCCTTGGGTGTCTCATGGTCAGCTGGGGTGGCTGTCTGCTCCCCCTTGCCTCTGTCCAGGCCACAGCCTGCACCCCGTGGCGGCTGCAGGAGCTGGAGGCTGGGCAGGGAGACCTGCGGGGATTTTTTGCCAGCCAGCTCCTGCATGGTTAGGTCTGGAAACTCAGTCACTGACAACAAACGCAAAAGCAGTTATGCTAACTAAAACAATTTAGGCTAATTAAAATCTTTGGCTCATCAAAACTCACTGTTCCGCATCTGAGTGAGTTAATTGACAGTGAGATTAAGTGGAATGAAATTGTGGGAAAGGAAAAAAAAAAACCCTCTGTTAACATGGGAAAAACACCGAGTGCAGCCTGGCATCGTTTTAGGAGGGAGACTGCAGCAGGCATGTGTGCTGATACACGGAGAAGCCTTCAGTCCAGTGGAGGAGAGTGGTAGCCACTGAGCCGTAATCGAGTTAACTCCATGGGAATGGAGTTCATGACTCCTCCAGAAACTGGGACATGACTTGGGAGCTGCTCCCTTTCCTCACCGGCCACTCACAGCCCAGCAATTGCTGCGTATTGTGGATGTAGGTGTTTGAAAGGCAGGAAGATCTTCCATCTGCTGGTTCACTTCCCAAATACCAACAAGAGCTGAGGCTGGACCAGGCGGAAGCCAGGAGCCAGGCACGCCGTCCACGTCTCCCATGCACTTGGCCATCACCGGCTGCCTCCCAGCTTGCACGTTAGCAGGAAGCTGGAGTCGAGCAGAGCCAGGACACGTACCCAAGCCCTCCAATACGGGATGTAGCTGTCCCAAGCCATGTCCTGGCCACTGTGTCAAAACACAGGGGCTTTTAACCTTGAATCCCTGAGTCCTTCAAGGATTTCTGCAGAAATGTCATGCACTTTTTTACTACAAAATCTATTTTTTTAAAGATTTATTTATTTATTTGAAAGAGTTACACAGAGAAAGAAGGAGAGGCAGAGAGAGAGAGAGAGAGGGAGGTCTTCCATCCGATGGTTCACTCCCCAGCTGGCCGCAATGGCTGGAGCTGCGCCAATCCAAAGCCAGGAGCCAGGAGCTTCTTCCAGGTCTACCTGGGTGCAGGGGCCCAAGGACTTGAGCCATCCTCCACTGCTTTCCCAGCCCATAGCAGAGAGCTGGTTTGGAAGCGGAGCAGCCAGGACTCAAACTGGTGCCCATATGGGATGCTGGCACTGCAGGTGCTGGCCCCAAAATCTGTATCTTTCTAGGGCAAAGAATCTGTCACATTCCCAAGGGGCCCACTGCCCGAGTGCAGTCAGATGGGGCAGCGGGTCCTGCGGTGACGTGTGCGTCCCTAGGCGGCGCTCCCACCATCCCTGGCGCTAAACTCCACGGAGGCAGGTGGAGAGGCTGCCCGGAATCTGCTTTACGCCCAGGATCGAGATGCGTTTGGAGACCATGGGGCTAGCGGTGTTCATCTGATGAAGAGCCAGGGGTCCACCATCCACAGAGCCACTGGGGCAAGTGGGAGGTACCGGGGTGGGGCAGCAGGGGTGAGCAGGAAAGGACTGGACTCCGAGAAGCCGGAGACGGGAGCTGCGGTTGGAAGGCAGCAGTGATGGGTCTTAAGCTCTGCCTTCCTGGGCACAGGGCCCTCCGTGGGGACCTGTGAGGCTGGATTGCTTATTCTGCATGGGCTTCAGGGAGCCAGGGGGTGTTCTGGGTGCCCCGCAGAGCTAATTAAGAAGCACAATTAATTACTTGGTTGTGTTTGCAGCAGAGGCTGGGGGACAGTTCTCTTCTGGAGCAGGAGTCCACAGCCCTACCTGCCCCTGCTCACACACACACTGCGGCAGGACGCCAGACTTCACCTTCCATGTCCCTGCCGTGTGGGCTCTTTCTCCAAAGCGCGGGAGCCGCTGTTCAGAAAGTTCTGTGCACGTGGTTTTCGTCACTCATCCATTCGAGCAGCATCGGTGGCAGACGCAGGCAGAGTCGGGCGATGGTCCAGACCAGGACAAGTGTGAGAGTGAACAGGTGCTATTCATCACTCCGGTGGCAGGTGCAATCCTGCCTCTGGCTGGAGCAGGCCCTGCCTCTGCCTACTGGAAGGCAGTAGCGGAGGCCAGGCTGTGTCCCCTGCCGGGGGACATCAACGTCCTCCTGGGCCTGGGCTCCCTGGCATGAGATTAATGTGGAGCCTGCAGGCTGTGGTGGAGACTGTCCGTACGTGGAGGTGAGGGGCTGGCCTCGGAGCTCTGGGGCCGGGAGGTGGGGGAGAGTGGGATGGGTACCCACCGTGCAGATGAAGAGCTCTCTGGGATTTCTTTGCCTCTGCCCTGTCTTGCTCGCCCCAGGCTGTGGCCTGTGAGTGTTCCAGGTCTGGGTGAACAGGCAGGAGAGGCAGCTTAGTCAGCAGAGGTGCTGTGGGCAGAGGGAGCAGCGCGCTGATGGCAGCAGGAAGGCATCCTGGGCGAGGGCTGTGGAGTGGGCAGAGTTTGGGAGGGGAAGCTGTGATGGAGAGGCCACGACAGCTGCGTGGGGGACGCCTCAGGGCCCTAAGCAGAAGCCCCAACAGGAAGTCTGGAGCAAACTCAATTACCACCGGCGGTGATGTCAGCTCCCCTCTGCCCGTTCCTCCCACTGACGAGCGCGTCTCCAGTGGCCCAGCCCCTCCCGAGAATCAGGGGCACCTGCGGGCAGAGCCCGGAAACCGCAGTGGGCATGTTGATGAGTACATTTGCATGATGCAGACACGCTGTCTTCCCCTAGGGCTTCCAGAAGCAGGTCACTGGCCGTCCAGTTCTGCGGCTTGCACACGTGTGGTGGGAACAGGACGTGGGTGCTGGCTGGCTGCTGCTCCCACACCAACAGCTGTCACGTTCACCTGGGGGCTCCCTGGAAGATGGCGGCTCCCTGGGCTGCACCTCCCCCTCAAACCCGGACGCCCACCACCTGCTACATGCCTCCCGTGGCAGGTCCAGGGCTGTGCCTGGAGCAGAGGGCCCCGGCTGGAGGAGCCTCAAGTGTTTCAAAACTGCTGTCTCAACCACACAGCTCTTTACCACAAAACACTCCCAATTCTGGTTGAGCTGTCACAGACCCCAGGGCCTGTGACAGGCACAGGATGGCCTGTCCTCCTGAATGTGCCTCTTCCACTCCCTGCACCTGTCCCTCCCGGGACAGCCCCTCCCCCTCCAGCCTCCCCACCTGCTGCCCACCTGCCCATGGGCTCTGAGATGCTCAGGGCAGCAAGAGCAACACCTGCTGAGCTCCCTGGGGGGACCCAGCCTGGCTGATGAGAAGTAGCAAAGAACAAGGGAGAGCGGCTGAGGTTCTTGTCTTAGTCTGTGTTTCTAGAACAAAATACCTGAGGCTGGTCATGGGTAGAGAAAAGAGGTTTCAGGAGCCAGTGTGTGGCACAGCGGGTTAAGCCGCTGCCTGAGATGCTGGCACTTCATATCACAGCCCCAGTTCAAGTCTTGGCTGTTCCACTTAGAATCCAGCTTCCTGCAAATGCTCCTGGGAAAGTAGTGGAAGATGGCTCATGTACTTGGGCCCCTGCCACCCACGTGGGAGACCCAGATGGAGTTCTGGGCTCCTGGCTTTGACCTGGCCTGGCTCTGGCCATTACAGTCATCTGGGGACTGAACCAGCAGATGAAAGATCTCTCTTTCTCTCTCCCCATCTCTCTGTAACTCTGCCTTTCAAATAAACACATCCTTTTAAAAATTTTTTGGTTTAGTTCAAGGTTCTGCAAGCCCAAGGGCGTAGCACTAGCACTGGTGTTGGCAAAGGCCAGTGGTGGCAGGAGCCATGAGAGGATGAAATGTCACATGTCACATGTCAACAGAGTAAGCAAGGGTCGAGCTGAGACGGCCACACTCACCACGTGACAACTCGGGTGGGTGGTGCCCGGTCCAGGCTGGGAGCCCTCGCCCTGAGATTGCGGGTCAGTCCCTCTGAGTAGGATTTAGCCCCCAGCCTCATGCAGGCCTTTGGACCCCAACGTCATGTCAGTGGTTAATGGGTGGATGGCAGTGGCTGATGGCTTCAGGGTGGAGGCTTGATCATCCGGGAGGGAGGCCTTGGGGTCACAGGGGGCTTGGGCTGGGTAAGCCCCCTGGGTCTCTCTGCTTCCTGGCTGCCTCTGTGATCATCCCTTGAGCCAAGGGGGCTGCCCCATCTTGGACCGGAAGCTGAAATAAACCTTCCTCCTTCCCACGAAGCTCATCCCAGGGGACTTAGTTAAGTGAGGAGACGCTGACTAACCCACCTGCTGATGCCCCGGAACCTGACGACCTCCCCACCGAGCCCCTCCTCTTAAAGGTACCACCACACCGGCAAGCCAGCCTCCAGCTGGGAGCCCCTGGGAGCCCCGTCTGTGCTAAGGATGAGAGCTGGCTGCTGAGCTGCCCTGCCTCTCCGCCCGCCCCGCCATGCAGGAGTGGATGCGGGGAGAGCCACCCAGGCAGGACGCAAGCGCACGTCCTCAGGCCTGCTTTTCCTGTGTGCTGTTTGCAGAGCTGTTCCTTGTCAACTAGATTTTGAGTGTCTATCTGAGACAGAAACTTGTTTTACTTCTGTTTCACACCCGGCCCACAGAGGTGTTGCACACATGGGGAGTGAATGACAGGCAAATGCGTGAGGCTCCTCTCTCTGCGTCCCCTCCGGCGTTCTTGGGAGGCTGGGGTCACACACGTGGGTCACCCTGGCCTCCCGCTGCCGTCCCAGGAGTGTCTCCCTGTCTGTGGGTGTCCCTGTGTGTGTCCTAGCTCCACCGTAGACCCCTTTTTCCTACTGCTGCTGCCAGCCAGCCCCTGGGCACCAGGGTTCTGGAGGGTCCAGGCCCTCACACAGAAAACACCTTGGCCAGGGGCCCCTGGGGGGGACACCCATCCCCCTCGTTCACCTCCTGCCCTGCAGATGCTCCATCCCCTGCCCCTCCTGCTGCCACCTTTGTCGTCTCTGGGCTCACACCGCATGGCAGCCACTCTCTGGCCCCACTTGGACTTGGAGCCAGGCCGCGGTCAGGGCACTGTCTGCTCTCTCCCTGGGAGCAGGACCAGGAGCCTGGCGTGAGGAATAATTGTGGGCTGAGGCCCTGCCCAGCATTAGGAAGCAGGAGCCGAAGGGTTAAACAGGACAGCCTGAGGGCCTGCAGAGCCTGGGTGCTCCAGGCCACTAATGAGACCACTTTCCAGGAAGGAGACTTGTGCGAGCAGTAACAGGCACTAATGAGGGCTGGCGGGGCTGCCCGGAGCAGGTGCCGAACGAGTGGAAGGAGTGGAGATTTGGAGAGCTGGCCTAATGGCTCCCGCCCCATTTCAAGGGCAGAGCTCTGCAGGGCACGACCAAGGGCCCAGGTAATGAGGGGATGCGGGACTGGGCCGGGAGGAGCCTCTTCAGGCTGGGGCGAGAGCAGGTCAGGGTGGCACTGAGCCATGGGGGCAACCTGCAGGCCTCTTCACCTGGGCCGGCCCCAGACCCTGCAGGGAGCACAGGGCAGGCGGGATCCTGAGCTGAGGGAGGCCCCTCGGGAGCAGTGCCGCAGGGCTGGGACCTGGCATGGAGCCTGTGCTCTATTGAGCCCGGCTGCGTCTCTTCCTGCGCACAGAGCCCTCCTCCTGGGGCCAGGCCACTGGCAGCTCCTGGGCTCTACTGAAGCACCAGAGATGCGGACGGAGGTGGCTGTGGCTCCACTGCTGGCTGCACAGGGACACTCTGCAAGATGTGTGCGGCTTCCCTCCCTTCAGGGCACCCGGACAAGAGGAGCTGAGCTGGCATCCGCCCGGCAGTCTGCTGCCAGGGCTGGTGGAGAGACCCTGAACGAGCTACTGCAGGGCTCATCACTTTCAAGGCACTTTTCCCTGCCAAACTGTGGGGCCTTCAGTGTGTGACTGGCCCGCCGCGGGTTGGGGCGCAGCTGTCAGCAGTGCAGAGAACCAGGCGACACAGCCAGCTAATCACTTGTTCAGAGGCTTTGCAGCACACCGCTTTCCAAAACACACAAAAAATTCGCGCTGATCCGATGGCAGGAGCCAGGTGCTTCTCCTGGTCTCCCATGGGTTGCAGGGCCCAAGCACTTGGGCCATCCTCCACTGCACTCCCTGACCACAGCAGAGAGCTGGCCTGGAAGAGGGGCAACCGGGACAGAATCCGGCACCCCGGCCGGGACTAGAACCCGGTGTGCCGGCGCCGCTAGGTGGAGGATTAGCCTAGTGAGCCGCGGCGCCGGCCAGTAATTGTTTCCATAGCTGGATTGCATCTCCACCCATTCATTACGATGTATTTTCAGGGAGGGACCTTCAGCGGGGGGTTAAGGTGCTCACTCCCCACTCAGCTCACTGCTGATGCGGACCCTGATGGCCCAAGCAGCCACGTCCCTGCCACCCACGTGGGAGACCTGGGTGCAGCTCCAGGCTCCCAGTTTTGGTCGAGACCTGCCCAGGCCTTTGTGGGCATTTGGGGCGTCAACAGCTAGATGGGAACTCTCTGTCTGGCTCTCAAGTAAATTTCGATACATTTTCCTTTTTAAGCTCAACAATTACTTGTGAAATCGTTTCTTTCCCAATCAGTTGCTTACTGCATTTTACATCAAACGATAGTTGTGGAGGCCAGCGTTGTGGCATAGCTGGTAAAGCAATGTCCCATAGCAGAACACTTGTTCGTGTCCTGGCTGCTCTGCCTCCCATCCAGCTTCCTGCTAAGGTGCCTGGGAAAGCAGAGGAAGATGGGCCAAGTGTTTAGGTCCCTGCACCACGTGGGCTGTTGCAGCCAGTTAGGGAATGAACCAGCAGAAGGAAGATCCTCTCTAACTCTTTCAAATAAATGAATCTTTAATAAAAATTAAAAGTCATATCTTTAAAAAAAAAAAAAAACCCTTAGAGCCTTCTGTCCCAGGAAACCAAATATTTTAATTTCAACTCATAAATTTATTTTGTGGCAGAGAAGTGAGCGATAAAATACTTTCAACCAAAGAAACATTTCCCTAGTGTAAATTCTGGGAAATGGAAGTGAGAGAGAGAGGGAGCGTTGTCCAGATTCCAGCTGCTAAAGCCGAGCTGGTTCCATGTGTCTGAAACAGATGAGGCTGAATGTGGTACATCGCTGAGGAGCTTAGATTCCAACCGATGTCTTTTGAAATGTGGCGGTTTCATTTTGAAATGTAAATATTGACCAAAGCCCTCCACGTGTTTTAAAACATGTAAAAAATATAAGATGTCAACTTAAAACTGGGAAGATGGGACACAGAATTTTCCTTAGTTTATTTCAGCGGAAGGTGCCTAGGGCGGAAGCCCTTTGGGAGCCAACGGCCCGAGGGCTTCTCTCTCCCGGAGCCCGGCCTGCGAAGCCACGCCCAGGAACCTCCCCATTGGTTGTTGCTGCAGAGTCCCTGCTCCCGGTTGAATGGGCCTTGCCCGGGGAGGGGGTGGGGTAGAGGAGGCTCCTCCTGGTGACAGCCCTGGGACGACCTAGTTCCTGCCTCCACCACTTGCAGAGGACGCCCAACCACCACCCAGCTGCTGGCACGGAGTGGCAACTGACTGTGGCCCTGGGCGGGCCCTTCCCCGGCCCAGGCCTCATTTTCCTCACCTGTTAATGGGGCTACGTGAGGATCCAGAGCGAGAGGCAAACGCCCGAGGAAGCGTGCCCAGCTCTTGTCAACGTGACGTCCCTCTGTTCCCAGCGGCTCTGGTCCCCGGGAGCCCCCTTCTGCTGCGACGCCAGCTCCTTCCCTCCGGTCCCCACCAGGGCCCTTGCAGCAAGGAGAGCCCAGAAAGAACAGGGAGAGGACGGGGAGCAGCCTCCAGCGGGGAGGAGTGCGGGGCCGGTGGGCGGCCGGGGGTCACACAGCGGCCGTGTGCTTGATGCTGTGGAAGCTGATCCGCGTGGGTGACGTGGGGATGGACATGCCCCGGGCCACAGGCACTCGCAGGGAGTGGTGATCCTGCCAGCGATGCCATCTTTTCCTCAGAGCCGAGCGCACCTGCGGGGCGGGAGAGGCTCAGCGGCCTGCGGGGGCGGAGCCTGGGCCTCGGGACAGGGGGACGGGTCTCCCCAGCTCCCTGTCCCTCGCTGGGCTGCTCAGGGCGGCCCCCACCCACGGCCACCCTCATACTGCGGGACCTCCCCCGACCAAGACCTTTCCCCTGGCCCCCACCTCCGCTCTGCAGCTACGCTGGAGCCCCCTGTTCTCCCCGCTCCTGGAGGAGTCTGGCGCCCACTCTCTGTTTGTGACCGACTCTGCTGCTGGACTTCAGCGTGGCAGGCCCAGAGCGCCCAGCTCCCAGGCCCTCGCCAGCGCACACACCTGGCTCAGGTCCTGCCCGCCCCTGCCCTTCCCTCCCGCCTGACAGGGAAAGCTGACAGTTCCAGTGGCTTCTGGTCCAGATCCCACCCGGTGCCTCTTGCTCTCATTTGCACTGTCACTGGAGTGTTTTACTGTAAAACGTGTTGCTCCATCACCCTCAGCACCTGGCTGGGACAGCATAAATGCCCGGATGCAGGCCACCTGTCTGCCTTTGTGGCCCTGTGTCTCTCTACCCTGCAGCCAGCCACACACTGGTCTTTGTTGGACTTGGCATCTGGGGTGGGGGGTGCTTTAACGGAAGGGCCCACCCCCGGCCCTGTGCAGGTGTGGCCGCAGGAGGGCGCTGCGTCCCTCTGGAGTATTTGGGAGCTCCTGGCCCTGGAGCTGCGTCTGCTCTTGCTTAGGCTCCCTTGGGTGCAGCCTCCCCCTCCCCCCACTGGCCCTGTGTGTGTCTCTCTCCCCAGCCAACTGCAGGGGGGACACTGCACCCCGTCCTGAGCCAAGCTTTACCGCCTGGGGGTGTGGCCTATTCATCAGTGTGGGAGGAGTGGGCCCTGAATTCATGAAGCCCTGTATGGTCCATGCCTCTCCTCTTTCTGGAAGCTTCCTCCTCTCACTGCCTCTGCCTTTCTCTCCCCTGAAGTCCTGCAGCCAGGGAACCCTGCCCACCCTGCTCCCTGCACCCCGGCTCCTGGCTCCCTGGGACTTGTGGCCTCCTCGGCTGGCCCTAGCCCCTGCTCCCCTAAGGCTGGGGCTGTTTCTCAGACCTCCCTCTCCCTCCTCCAGGGCAGAACTGGACAGAGCCAGGGACCTGGCTCTTCTGAAAGGCTGGGCAGCTGGCACTGCCCTTGAGTGGAGGGTGAGGCCCAGAGCCCAGGCCACCCCGAGGGCCACCCTCGTACCTCTCCGTTGAAGAAACAGTAGAAGACGGACACAAAGAAACCCTGCAAAGCAAGGAGGTGCTGTCAGTGCCGGGGCAGAGCTGGGTGGGGCCTTAGGACACAGGCAGAAGGGGGTCCAGCCTGGGGTGGGCCTCAGCAGAGCAGGTGTGGGGACACCTGAGCTCTGGGTGGGGCTGACAGGGCCTGGGATCAGAGCAGGGCACTCCAGCAGCAGGTGGGGCTGGGGACCGGGAGTGCACCTGCTTTATCTCCACCTGTGTGTTCACACTGAACCCCACGTGTGCCGGTCCTGGTTCCCAGGGCTCCCCAGGGGCCACAGCCGGCCGAGCGCCTCACCTGGAAGGACTGCAGGAAGGAGTTGAAGTAGATGAACACAATCTGTGCCAGGTCGTCCTCCCCGGGGTTGATGAAGAAGAGCATGTAGGTGATGCCCAGCAGGGGCAGGAGGACCAGGGTGGCCTTCACCGCCTTCCTGGGGACGGCAGGGTGGGGACACGGGCCTGAGGCCACACGGCAGGCAGGCAGGCAGGCTGGGAAGGCTTCTTTGGGGGCTCAAGCAAGCTCCTGGTGGGGACTTAGTGGGCGTGGCCTGCAGGCAGCAGGCAGTCACCAGGGCTGCTCATTCCACCCGGGCACCGCGTGCTCACGCACCTGTACTGCATCGTCTCCGAGGTGGTGGACGCTCGCAGCTTTGTCATTAGGATCCTGACGATGTTGAACAGAAATACAAAGTTTATCTGGAAGGAAGAAGGCAGAGAAGGAGCCAGGAAGGAAGGGCCTTGGCCTGGGAATGAGCAAGGAGGCAGCCCCCTCCCCCAGAGCCCCGCAAACCTACACCCAGGCACACCTGCTGGGACCCGCTGCCTCGCCTCCCCCCTCGGCCCCATTAGATCCAGCATCTGCCACTTCTCCACCTCCAGACTCGGGGGGAGCAGCAGTGAAGCCGAGAGCGAAGGCTTCTCTCCCCCGGACGCGTTTCCCAGAAGACCCCTAGCCCGACCCCACACTCTGAGGCTCTGCCCCAGCCCTGGCCCCTCTGCTCAGCAGGCTCCCGGTGAGCTGCCTGGCTCTGGGTTAGCCCCAGGGCCTGCCACCTGCATGGAGTGATTAATGAGCATGAGACCAAGGAAGGTCTCTCCCCACCGGCTCCTGAGCCTCCGCAGACACCTCGAGGCTAGGAAGATGGACAGGCCACTGGGCGGATCCGGGCTCCCGGAGGGGCCTCATCTATCTTCGTTCTGTGCTTCCTTCCTCATCAGAGTCTGGCTCTGAGCCTGCCGCATGCAAGGGCAGCCGTGTCACCCCCCTGCTGCACGGGTCTCTGTGGGCCTATGGCGTCTGTAGACCCATGCTTCGTGCATGCGTCCAGGGCCGGGGGCCCGGAGCCCGCCTGCGCTCTCTGCACTCCGTGCATGCTGGAAGGAGTGGCAGTGTGTGCAGGCCAGGCTCTGGGACCGTCTCCTCTGAAAATGCTCACGAGCCAGAGAGAGCCACCTGCGGGCTCCTGCATGCACACACATGTGCACACACACACACGCACACACACACACACCCTCTGAGTCTCTGTCTAGAAAATCCACTGCTCCCTAAGCCCAGGCTGGGCCCCACTAACACCCTAAGTTCTGGATCCCAGGCTGGGAGTGGGAGACACTGGCAGACATCATGGGACTGCCATTCCTGTAACCTTTGGGAACTCCTAGGCTTGAGGGTGGCTGTGGGGCAGGAGGGCTTGGGGTCCCCTTCAGCCGTGGCCTGGCAAGCCCAGCAGAGCCTGCAGGGGGGTGCCCATGGCCTGCCACTCCTACTTTCTCTGAAGACGCACCCAACATCTAGCTCCTGGGCTTCTGGCATCTTCCCTTGGATCACGGGTCATAAGCCACCTTAGCGCACTGATCAATCCTAATTTTCTTACATAAGTAATGCAAAGTACTTGACCTTTCCCGATTCTTCCCGACTTCTCTGAGTCTCTACTGTTGGAATCAAAATGCATCCTCATTTCTGCCACATTTCTTTGTATTAGAGATTATTCACCCAGCACCCATCAATACACTAACTAGTTTATTTAATTATCCACTCAGTGCTCCATCCCTCCACCCACCAAGTCATTTTATCCATCTTCCACCCGTCCGTCCGTCTGTCCGTCCGCGCATCCCTGCAGCAAGCAGCTCCTGGGCACCCCGTGGCTACAGGGCCTGCTCCTTATGCCGAGAGATGGGCCAGCACAGAGGCCTGTGTCAGGCACTGGGAGCCAGGCCTGAGCCCTCCTCAAACGAGCCCACCCCGCCCCCCTCGGCTGCGTTCTTTGCTTTGGAGCGAGTTTCCCAGCCTCCCTCTTTACCACATCAGGGGCAGCGCTGCTGCAGACACTCCCTTTCTCTCCAGGGAGCTTCTGACCGCCCTGGGCTCCCCCTTCTTGGACTCCACCCTTCCCTGCCCACTGCACCCCAGATCCTCCCTGTACACTGCTGCTGGACCCTAACCTTGTCAAGCTTGGTTTCTGCTTCTCTTTAATCATTCAGTGAATCAACTTACCACGTGGCAGGCTCTGAGTTGACATGGTCCCTGCTTGGGGCCTAGCTGAGGGTGGGTGGCAATGGGGGTGGGGTGGCAGGTTGCCTGTCTCCTAAGAGGTCGGGAAGGCCTGGGGAAAAGGCCAGAGAACTGGGCACTGAGAAGGAGGCACCGTCGGCTGGTGAGGGCGGCCTGCTGGGAGGAGACGGCCCCGGATGGCAGCCGGTGTGCCTGTGGCTGCGGGGGACATTGCGGGCCCTAGACCAGTGCAGCTGGGAGCCGGTATGGTAAAATCCACTCCCTTCTGCAGCAAGCCCCTCACAGGGCCCTCCGACCCGGCCTGGAATGTCCGCAGGGGTGGGCAGGGCACAGCCCAGGCCCCTGGAGGAGCTGCCCTGAGCAGTGGAGCCTGCCTCAGTGCCCTCTCTCCTGGCACTGGCAGCTCGGTCCCCCATGGCTGTGGACACCTTGTACTCCCTGATGTGGGTCGAGGCCTTGCGCCCTCCCTGGTTCTGTTCCTTAGGCAGCAGCCTTGTGAGGCAGATACCACCCTGAGCCCCATTTTATGGATGCACAAGTTGAGGTTCCAAAGGGTGCGTAAGTTCCCTGTGCCCTGGAGTTGGCAGGGCGTGGGGCTGTGCTTTGAACCCAGGCAGCTGGCTTCGGCAGCTTCTCCTAACCCCCACGTCACGCTCTGCTCCTGCAGCAGCCACGCGCAGGACCCTGGGTCACCAGCATGCACCCCCAGTCCACGAGGCCTCACAGCCACTCGTGAGGCAGGGACACCTCCCCGTGTTGCAGGTGGGACACTCAGGTGCCAAGAGGGCAAAGGGCATCCTCAGGATCAAACCCCACTTCCCAGGGCCCGCCTCCTGGGAATATACCTCCACGATATACCACACGGCACCTGCCTCTCTGCAGCAAGGCAAAGAAAAAGAAATGGACCCGGCCCACTGGTTCTCAGTCCCCCGTGTGTGAGCCACCCTGAGACCCCGCCACACCTGCTGGAGGGCCAGGGCACTTGCTACGTCACCATGCCATGTCTCAGGTCTCACTGTCCCTAAACCTTCACTGCGTGCACTGTGCAGAAACAGGGAGGGCAGCAAAGAGAGGAAGGGAAGAAGGAAGGGTGGAAGGGGAGGAAGGGGGGAGGGGGAGGGGGGAGGGAACGGGAGGGAAGGAGGAGGAGGGGAGGAAAGGAGAGAGGAGGGGAGGGAAGGGAAGGGGAGGGACGGGAAGGGAGGAGGGAAGAAAAGGAAAGAGGAGGAGAGGGGAGGGGAGGGGAGAAGAGGGGAAGGGAGGGGAGGGAGGAACAGCCAGGGGTCCTGGCCCACCTGCCCTCCTTGGCTTCCAAGCAGGCTTCTCCTGTCTTTAACCCAGCTTGGGAGACGAGGTCCCGCCCTTGGGAGGGTCTCCGTGCTAGGTACCAAGTAGATTTCCTGCAACCTCACTCAGGTCTTCTCACCCCTGCCCAGCCTCAGCTCCCTGCCCCACACATTCACACACCTGTCTGCGCCACAGGGGTCTGTGCGGCCCTGTGGTCTGTCCCCAGGGAGCCTAGACCATGGGAGATGGTGTCCCAGCAGCCGGGAGTGGGGGACAGTCTGCTGCTTAGCCCCGGATCCTCACGGGGCACCTCTGGTTTTCCCCTCCTATTGGCATTTTCCAGGCAAATCTCAAGGGGCTCAATCCTGAGCGTTACTGTGCCCCAGGCTCTGGCCGGGCCGCAGAGCAAGCCCAGACCACAGGCACTGAGGGTGTGAGGACCCAAGTTATGAGGACAGAGCCTGTGGTGGGCTCAGCATGGAACCTGGAACCACGGCTCGGGGGCCAACACTGGACCCAAAGGGAACAAGCAAAGGGTTCCGAGCTGAGGCGGGGGTGGCAAGAGTGAGGGCGGCGGGCAAGAGCAAGTCCAGCGGCACACTGGCCCCTGCCCGCATCACTTCCTCATCACCCGTCCACATCCGGCTGTCACGACTGGCTCACTCCCTTGCCTCGGCTGCCATCTGGGCCAGCCTTCTTTGGCGGGTCCCAGGCTCATCAGAGCCCCTGTACCAGCCAACAGCTGGCTGGGAGGGGATACGTCTCATGGGGGTTCCGCACACTGAGCATGATAATCTCTGCCCTCGTTAACTGCTGGCAGGGACTGGCTCCTGCCTTCCGTGAAAGCAGCCATGAGGTCGGTTTCAGGCAGTGGGTGGCAGCCTCCCTTGTCCTCTAGGGGCAGGCGAATCCGGAGAAGAGCAGGGACAGAAAGGAGATAAGCAGCTGTCAGCAAGGGAGGCAAAAGCACGCCCCGTGAGGCACCTGCTGTGGGCAAGTGGCCAGTGGCCATTCTCTCCGAGTTAAAGGAGCGTAGCCCTTTAAGGCAGCTGGTACACACAGGAGCCTGAAATTGCTGAGCCTGAAATAAGTCTTACGTAAATGCCAAGTTCTTATGGGGCTTTTTTGTATGTTTCTTTTTTTTAAATGTACAATATATAATGGGCTCTTTTTACTTTTTTTTTTTTTCCCAGAATGCAGCCTCTACTTAAACTCTGTCTTAATTAAAGCTCGTTGTGGATCAAAGACGTGGAGGCAATTATACCTTAGACGCGGATACATCTGGGAAAGGGCGGGCAGCTGGACAAGGAACAATTGCTCGTTACGCTTCCTTCTGGGATGGCTGCTCCAGGCTGGGGGCGGTGGGCTGGGCCCCAGAGGGGAGGGTAGCATGGTGGGGGAGGGGGAAGGCATGCAAAAGACTTGGTGCTGGGCCCTTCTGTTGCCTCAGGGACCTGCTCACCTGGCCAGCTCAACCTGGTGCTAGCAAGTGGACGTCAGACCCGGGACAGCTAGAAACCCCCGGGTCAGATCCTTTGTGGGCCCAGAAGAAGAGTTCAAGGTGCAGAGAGGCACAGGGGCTGCCCCAGGGCACAAAGCATGAGGGAGAGGCCAGGGTCCCAGAAGAGTGCAGGCTAGGAGCCAGCAGGCAGACTGGGTGTGGAGAGCAGCCCCGGCCATGTTTTGCCCAGAGTCAGCCTGGCTGGGTCCTCTGCTGTCCTCCCGGAGCCCAGCCCCATCTGTCCCCGCCCCCACTGAGGACCTACCAGGAGCACAAGGATGATGGGGCCCTGGTAGATGTAGTCCACCAGGTCTCCGGGCTCCTTGCCAAACCAGCACCTATGGAGAGGGGGGTGGTGCAGTGAGTGGTCAGTGGAGGAGGAGCCAGGCGACCACTGCAGGTGTGGGCTCAGGGTTCTCTGACCCCTCCTGAGCCCCAAGCTTCAGGGCTGCCCCTTCCTCAGTGGACAGCGCAGCCCCCTGCCCATCCTCGCCTGGCCCCTGGCTGTCTTTTGCTCTATCTGGTGGGTCTGGTCTCCCCAGCCAGGTTGACGGCAGACTCTGGGTCTCCTCTACGTCCCCCTCCGTCCCCTGTGTCATCTCAGACTGCTGGATGCCGAGCTGGGCACGCAGGAGGCACAGGAGTGAAGTGAGAGCCAGGCTCCCCCTTGCTGGCCCAGTGCCCAGCTCGCTCTGTACCACCTGTTCCCCCGTGGCTGCAAACCCATGGCTCTGCGTGCCAGGCGCTCAGCTGCACACAGCAGCAGATGTGGAGGTGGAACGGTCCCTCCCAAGCTGGGTCTTCAAACTGAGCCCCCAGCACTCCACAAAGGGAGCCTGCTGCCTGGCCCGCCTCCCTGGCTGGCACACGCTTGTTTATTCTCCTGGATGCTAGTCCAGGGAGAAGGACGAAGAGCTGGGCCAGGAGGACCCAGGCGAGCTCCGCCAGCAATTACTGGACCTTGGCAAAGGACCATGAACTTCAGGAAACTCAGAGGGCATCCAGGGCACACCGGCCTCCACTAGGAGCCTCCTGGCTGCCTCCCAGCACTGAGGTTTCCACCTCTGCTTGCACACCCCGTTTGAAGGAAGCTCACTACCTACCAAAGAGGCTCTCTTTTTCTTGGGCAGTTTTCACCTTTACAAGCTCTTTCTAAAGTAGGACTTCTGGGACTGTACCCCAAACCCCGCTGCTCACCCCAGCCCCGGAGACCCCTTGGAGACTGGCACTTGGAGAGTGATGATAACCTCTTCTCTCTGCTCCTGGCATCTGACTTCCTGGCTGCTCTCACTGGCCGGCCTGTGGCCACAGCTGCTGCCTCCTGGGCCATGGCTATCACAGTCTGGGGCAGGGACACCCTGGCGTAGACACTGTGCCCACGCGGAGACTGGGGTGTCAGCTAACACAAGCTCTCGTCGACTGTTCCATGCTCACTGATGCAGCCTGGGATGGTGCCTGTACCGCACGCCCCAGGCCTTCCAGCACTGCCCCACCCAGCTTTGAGGAACAGACTTACCCAAGGCTGTGGGCATCACTTGAAAGAACCATGAGTCCTTACTAAACTCAGGAAACAGTCACGTGAGACCTGCCACGCGAGTGCCCCGGGTGCCCAAATGCTTAAGGACAACCAGAAAGTGACTCTGTGCTGGCAAGGCCCCAAGGCTTGGCAGACCCCAGGGCTGACCTGTCCCTGCTCCCTCCCCACCACACCCCCATGGCCATGGCCGGCCCGCCCACTTACTGCTCATTCTCATAGTAGAGTTTGCCGACAGCCCAGGCGATGATGATGGGGCAGGGGATGCCTGGAAGAAGAACAGACATGCGCTGCCGTGGACAGACAGATGGACAGGGACCCTCCTGTAGACCACGAGAGGCTGGGATCCCATTTTGGCTCTTCCCAGTGGGGGTCACGCATACCCCCAGAGGCCCCCATGTCACGAGATCACCATCCCCACTCTCAGCCACGCTCTATGAGCAGGAGTGGCAGCCAGCCAGTCTCCCTTTGAAGGCAGAGACAAGGTTCTTTGGGCTGGTCATCACAGGCTGGGAGGGCGACTGCTTGGAGCATCCTTTTGGTGCTTTGTCCCTACCAGCTTGGAGGAAATGGCTGCACCCTCAGGACGGGCTGGGCTCTGGTCCTTGGACCAAGGTGAAGGGAGATGACCCTGTCGGCCATCCGCCCCCCACCCGCTAGGCCCCACTGCCCCCAAGACCCTCACACCATCCGATGAAGAGGAAGAGCCACTTGCGCAGGCGCTCTGTGGAGTAGGTCATGGCAATGGCCGTGTGCAGGTAGCAGCCCTCTACGAACATCCAGAAGAAGTTGGTGACCACGAAGTAGTTGAAGGTGGCGGTGATGCAGCGGCACCACACCTGCTCCCGGGACAGGGCCGTCAGTGGCTGCCTGGGGCCCAGGCAGGACTATTCCCACCCCCAGGCAGGACCACGGCTTCCAACCCGACTGCCACTCGCAGGGGAGGTGTTCTTCCCCGGGTCTCTATCACTCCTTTGGGTTCAGCTAAGAAACCCTTCTCCCCTGGACTGGGGTGCTTCCAGTTCTCCCCAACTCCTTCCAGTGTCTCTTTTTAATAGAGAGAGGGAGCCTGGCTCTGAGCTTCCTGCAGGCACAGGCTGGAACAGAACGCTCCGTGTTTTGATCTTCACTGGACTTTGCAGTCGCTTCTCCCTGGCTGGCTCTCACAGCCCTGGGCCCATGCTGAGCTGCCAGCCGCTCTGGATCTTTCCCAAGGGTCCCATCCCTGAAGACACCTGCCCCCCACCCCCTGCCTCACTTCTTCTCCAAGGTAACGACATCTGATTCATCCAGGTGAATGTGGAGCTGGAAGGCTCTCCATGTGTAACTGAACTTGTTTGGTACCGAGGTGGGGCTCAATGGGGGGCAGTTAAGGGTCACAGCTGGTGGGCGTCGGCCCAGGTGCAGGCCACCCAAAGGAAATGTGTTGAGACATCTCCACGGTGAGCCAAAGCACTCCGTGTCGGCCCCACTTGGGTCTACAGTTTTACAGGGACCTGGACAAGTCCAACAGTGATTGACAGGTGTGGGGTGGAGACCTGACGTGAGGCCTCATGGCAGCGTGTGCCCTGGGAGAGCCCCTTAACCTCTCTTACACAGTTTTCATGGCTGTGTCATGGGAAAATAGTCCCCATAGGTGTCCAGTCGGGATTAAGTGAGACAAAGCTCAACAGAGGTCAGTTCCAGCCTCCTTTTCCCTGAGGGGTCTTTTGTGTGTGTGTGTGAGGTTGGGGTGGGGGGTGGGGGGGGTGGAATCAGCAAGACCTGGATAACCCAAACCTGGTCTGGTTAACCCAGCTCCTGAGCGCCCCATCCGGCAGGCCCACCCCTGCCCCCAGCCCTGGAGGCACAATGCATCTAAGTGCAGGGCAGAGAGGTGGGCAGCCCCACAGCCCAGACCCCACCCCTAGGCCCAGCCCACGTGTCCCCGGGCGGCGACCTCGTTGCTCTCGTGCACTTCGTGGTCGATGAGCTGCAGCAGGAACCAGGCGACGTTGCGTAGGATGAAGGTGGTGATGAGGTTCCAGTGGATTACGTTCCGCAGACAGCGGATGCTCCTGTGGGCGGCCGGGGCCAGGGCTCAGTGGGGCTCAGCTCTCCGACATGGCAAGAGCAGGGCTGCCCTTCTCACCCATGGTGGTCAAGGGCGGGCCTCTCAGAGCCCAGCTGCCCCTTGCACCCTCAGAGCCTGGCAGTGGGCAGTGCCCTGGCACCTGGTCCACTGGCCCCTGGGCCCCTGGGGTGGGGGGAGGTCAGAGTGCCCAGGAGAGGCGAAAGGGCTGCTGGGGGTGCAGGGGTGAGGAGGAAGCAGGCCAGGAGGGTGGACTCACCGCAGGGCCAGGAAAAGCAGGAAGGCGGCCACCAGGGCTGCCATGGAGACGCAGTGGCCCAGGTAATTGACAACAAGGGCGATGCGGTAGTGCAGGTCGTACTTCCTCTGCTGGATGGACAGACAGACAGACAGCTCCCGTTATTAGCAGTATTTTCTCCAGGCAGGCAAATGCTTTCCCTCTGAATGCGATCTTCATCTGGGGAAAAGTTCCAGCCCCTTCAGGGACTGTGTTGGGATGGAGCTGGGAAGTTTTGGGTCAGGAACTGGGCGTGGCTTTAAAGGGGAGGAGGTTGGCGCCCTGGGCAGCACAGAGCAGGGAGCAGAGCACGGCTGGGCTCAGCTTCCCAGGAGCTTGGCTGCTGTGGGGCTGCACTGCTGTCCGGGTGGAGTCACGGACTCAGAGTGAGACACGGAGGCTGAGGGGCAGCCTGTGAGCGCTGGGAGCAGGGCTCACCTGGTCTTTCCCTTTCAGGGTCACCTGTCACCTGTGCCTGCTGGTGACACGTGTGCCTCGATGAGTGCTCCACGTCCCCCTTCCTGACCCCGCCGCAGTGTCACTGAGCCCGGGGTGGGACACCAGGGACAGGAGGTGCAGAGGGGAGTGGTTGGGTGACACAAGGGCTGGCTCTGAGTCCAACCTGTGTCCTGACACCTGTGCGGGGACCGACCACTCACCTTGTCATCAAAAATGGGCTCACACTGAGAGTAGTTGATCCTCAAAGCCCACGTCCCATTCTCCAAGCATTCGCGATAGGCATTCCCTGCAAAAGATGCCAACCGCCAAATCAGGCCACTCTGCTCCTCAAGAACCATCCCTGGCTCCCTGGTGCCTGCAGGACAAAGACAGGGTCCTTGGCTCTATAGGGCCAGGAGACACAGCACATGTGTGCAAGCTGACACGCGCCGCCTGTGTGAAAACGGCACCAAAGGCTTCTCTCACAGAGTAGCTCAAAGAGAAATGGCTATAGCCCATTTTAGGTGTAATCTGCGACTAGCAATTTGTATACTTTGCTTCATTTTGTTTCTTTGCTTCAAAGCTGAACCTGATTGTGAGAACTTGGGTGCAGCTGAAGATTCGCAGCTTTCAGCACCAAATAATCCCCATCCTTAGGGCAATCAACTCACATTAGAGGCCCTCCTCCCCCCCCACTGTAATATGAGCTTCCCTGAGTGTGGCATGTGTTTGCCACGTACCCAGCCCCCTTCTGACTACTCAAAACATGCTTGTCCATTTAACACTCACGACAACTCTAGGAAGCAGGTACTGACTGACACGGTGTTAACCCATTTCACAGAGGTGAAAACCAAGGCACAAAGGGATGAAGCTGCCTGTCAAGGAGACAAAGAAGACAAGAGGATTCCAACCCCTGAGGCCTAGCTTCACGTTTTGTCTTCAGTCTTTTGAGTTGCGGGGGCCTAGGAATGAGGGAAATCCAGGAGCCCAGGGTGGCGCGGCGCTACTGCCTGGGGCCAACACGAGTCAGGCACCAGCCTCTGTATTAACAGCCGGAATGAGGGATGGGAAGATACTTTTCAGCATCAATGCCTGGTTTATAGAAGTGCAGTTTCAGCAAACGGAATGTGTGGGGGAATCCTTGAACTCGCCTTTCTCTCGGTTCTAACTCTGACGTCCAAGATCTGGGACCTAAACTGCCCCCTGTGGCGAGCCCATGCTTTTCACGAGGACGCCGTGGCCCTCAGCCTGCCTCTGCACCACATCACGTCAGTGTGCACCCTCTGCCCCCCGCCCCCACCCCGAACCACAGAATCCACCTGCTCCACTGTTGGGGCAACTGGGACCAGGAGATTTATTTATTTATGTATTTGAAAGAGAGAGGGGGAGAGACTGGCAGAGAGATCTTCCATTCATTGCTTCACTCCTTAGATGGCCACAGCAGCCAGGCCAAAACCAGGAGCCAGGAGCTTCATCTGGGTCTCCCACGTGAGTGGCAGGGGCCCAAGCTCTTGGGCCATCCTCCGTTGCTTTTCCCAGGTGCATTAGCAAGGAGCTGGATCAGAAGTGGAGCAGCTGGGACACGAACCGGCACCCACATGGGTTGCTGGCATTGCAGGCAGCGGCTTTACCTGCTATGCCACAGTGCCGGCCCCTGTTCCTGGACGTTTTAACTTATGTTATCTACGTATATGTGATAAGGCGAATGAGAAGAATGAGCTCATAGGGCAGAGTCACGGAGCTGGAGTGGGGACTGAGGGTTGAGCTGCGATTCTGGGATCCTGAAGTTACCAGGCAGAGCGTGCGTGCACAGCAGTGGGGTGATCAGGGAGCACTCGCCGCGGGCAGACGCAGCGGAGGGGACTCTGTTGCTCAATCACTTTCTAATTGGCTGCCCTGAGCTCACTGAAGTCTCAGTCCCGGGGTTGCTCCTGGCCAATCCCTGCCTCCAGGCCTGTCAGTGTGTGGGCCGTCTCTGGCAGGGCCCCTGTGTGAGACAGCCAGGGCACCCCCAGAGGGAGGAGAGCTGCTCCCCACCCCGCCCACAGCGCCTGGTTCCACTGGTAGGCGTGGAGGGCCCTCTGCTTAGGGACATTCACGCACCTGCTGGGGAGGGCCGGGGAGTCCATGGGCTGTAGGAGTCAGGCTGTTGGGGAAGGCAGGTCTTTCTACAAAATGAACTGTCCCTTCCTATAGGGGTCCAGAAACCATCTGGCAATGTCCAGATGTGGCTCAGATGCAGACACATTCACCTTCTGAGGCTGCCTACAGTGATGTGATCTTGCTCCGCTAGGTCACTTCCTCCAGGAAGGTCTCCTGGATTGCTCTCATTCCACAGCTCTTTCTCTCTCTCCTGAGCACCCCTACTCTGCCCGCACCCCACACTCCAGCCCTGGCCTTGTGACCAGCACTCATTCTGTTCTCTCTGATGACTGTGGGGGCTCCCTGAGGACGGAGCCTCGGAATACACACTTCCTAAGTGTGCTATCTCTCATGCGACACTGACCGTGGGGCAGGCTGTAGGCGGGAGGGGGTCAGGGCAGAGACACTGCTGCTCACAGACCTTTTCCCCTCCTCAAACCAGTGCCCCTGGGTCCCAAGTCCCACGGGTCCTCTCCCCCTTCCCTGTTTCCAGCCTGCCCTCTTGCTTCCTTGCTTCTTCTCTTGACTCCTTTGCCAGGCTGATCCCCGCCATGCACAGCCAAAGAATAAAGTCCGGCTTCCCTGGCGCGACATCGAGGGCCTCGCCACTCAAGCCCCCTCCCCGCCGCTCTGCATGGTGCTTGGCATTCGCATGAACAGGCCTGGCACGTACCCAGCCCTGTGCTGAGTCATCGCTTGAAGCACGCTCCTCACTCTCACCCCATGCTCACAGAAAAACTCCTACTTATCGTGTAAACCCCAGCTCAACGCCACCTCCTCCATGGAGCCTTCCACAGCAGCCTGGATCTGACACAGTCCTTTGTTTTTCCCCTCTGGGTTACCTCCTCTTGTAACACAGGCCTGCAGATTTGTTGCCCTCGAACCCTAGCAACACGTACGTTTTACGTCACAATCCAGTACCCACATACCCCTGAACCTGGTTTCAAAAATGTGAAATTTATGTTGATCACAGCTCTGACGCTTTTCTTCTGTTCTGAAATATTCTGTTCACTTCCTGTACAAATGCTGGTCGTGACCACTACACTGACTTCACAGGCCGTGGCTGCTCCCCAGCCATAGTCCAAGAACAGACGTTATTGTAGCGCGTTTGCTGTAATTCACAGTGCACTTGGTCTCTTTGAAGTGAATCCTTTGCTCCAGGACTCTTGAGTTTCCTAGAGACAGACAAGTGGGCAGAGACCATAATGGAGCCACTGGGTCCCCCGAGGAGTGAGCCATCGAGTTCCTGTGGGCTGAATCAGGTTGACTGAGGTCTGTTGGATCTTGGAAGGCAGAGTCTGAAGGGTGGATGTGGAGGGAGGGGCCTTCTCCCTGGGGGCCCAGCCCTGCCCGGGGATGATGGCTGCAGACAACAGGTACCGGAGGACCAGGGGACAGATGTGCCCTGCTCTTTGAGGGAGCTGTCCACTACAGCTAATGAGGGCACTGAGCCCTCAGGCACAGCCATGCACCGGGGAGAATAGAGTGGGAAGAGCACCCCCCACCACCCAGGGAGCCACAGGGGGATGGAAACAGAACACAGGCCAGTGGCTAGGCCAGAATTGTGGTCCTGGATGCAGCGAGATGGGTGCCCGTTACCACAGCAACCCAGGGCCTCTGCTGAGGATCGATATTGGTGGTGTGTGGTGTGGCCTGGCAGGGGCATTAGGGTCTGGAGGGTGCGGGCAAGGTCTTCTCTGGCAGGGCTCTATAGTTAGGAAGCCTGAGCCCTACACCCAGGTGGCCCTGGCCTAATGAGAGCCCCCAGGGCAATGGACCACCCCTGTTTTCAGGTGCCGACATTTTGATAAGAATTCCTGACCTGTGGGATAACATGGCGTGGTCCAGGGACTGGCTGGGAGGTGGGGGGCTATGTTCCTGATATTGTTTTATCTCTAGCTAGATGGACAGGTGATCCTGACTAAGTCTCTTCCCTCTTGGCCTCTGTTTATCTCCTTGGAAAAAGTGATGTGAATTGGTTCTCAATCATGCCGTTGGCATCTGCTGGGGGTCAGGTGGGACTTCCCGATCTCCTAAATGCCAGCAGCTCCTCCAAGCCATTGTGACAACCCCAGATATCCCTACGTCACTTTCAAATGCTGCCCAGGCTGGCACTGCTATCTCTGGTCCTCTAACCAGTGGGACACGCACCATGGGTGTGTGGTAGCCATGGGGGACACAGTGAGGGGGACTGTGATGGAGGGGCATCAGTGTAGCCATCAGTTACAGGGAAGGTGACAAGAAAGGGGGAGGAGAAGGTGATGGGAGAGGGATGGGGAGGGCGAGAAGCCCTATTTACTGAAGAAATGAAGTCATTGCACAGGCCCAGACCTTCAGCACCACGGACAGCAAAATGCTACAGCTCTCTGCCCTTCATGGTTTCTGCAGGTACCAGACCTTGGAGAGCTCCTGGGAGCCAGCCCTTCCACTCTGCATTCAGATCATTGTCCTCGACCCAGCCTGTTTGCATCCTAGGCTCCTCCAAGAGCTTCTGTGATAGCTCCAGCTCCCTGAGGGTTCAGACTGACTTCACCCTGGGTTGGCATTGCTGTCTCTCATTCCTAACCAGCCCAGGGGGCTCCCTGCAACAGGACTTCCCAGGCTGAGAGTCCCTGAGAGCAGGGCTTTGGTGGCCACCTTTGGCCTTTTCATCAGAGCTGCACAGAGCTGAGCACACAGAGGCCTCAGGATGGATCAGAGCTGATGCTGTTGCCTACGTTACTGTGGAACCCAAAGAGGGTGGGACTTGGAGTGGCCCAAGAGGATAGGCTGGCATCCTTGGAAGCCCAGACTCCAGGTGTGAAACAGCCACACATGTGGGCAGCAGGCACCTGAGTCTCACACACACCCAGTGGACAGGATGGGTTGACCCTGCTGCCGGGGCTGCTGACCTTGCAGTCCAAGCCCACGTCAGGACAGTCAGTCTCAGACCTGTAGGCAGTATCCTCTGGATTCGAGGCACAGAAGCACTGACCAGTCCAAGGAAAGCACAATGGGAATTTAAGAGGGGGAGGTGGCCGGCGCCGCGGCTCACTAGGCTACTCCTCTGCCTTGCGGCACCGGCACACCGGGTTCTAGTCCGGGTTGGGGTGCCGGATTCTGTCCCGGTTGCCCCTCTTCCAGGCCAGCTCTCTGCTGTGGCCCAGGAAGGCAGTGGAGGATGGC